TAAAAATGATTTTTTTAATGATAAAATAAATGCTGAATTAACTAACTTTCATATTCAAAATAGGGCGTAAATTATATTTAAGAATAATTTTTGATGATAAAATAAATGCTTAATAAACTTTCATATTCAAAATAGGGCGTAATTAATAATTTAGAATAATTTTTGATGAGAAAATAAATGCTGAATTAATTTTCAAATTCAATATAGCTTGTAATTAATGCTTTAGAATAAATTTTATTGAGAAATTAAATGCAGAATGAACTTTCATATTCAAAATAGGGCGTAATTAATATTTAAAAATGATTTTTTTAATGAGAAAATAAATGCTGAATTAACTTTTATATTTAAAATAGGGCGTAATTGATATTTTAGAATGATTTTTGATGAGAAAATAAATGCTGAATTAACTTTCATTTTCAAAATAGCGTGTAATCAATATTTTAGAATGATTTTTGATGAGAAAATACATGCTGAATTAACTTTCATATTCAAAATAGATAGTAATAAATATTTTAGAATGATTTTTGATGAGAAAATTAATTCTGAATTAACTTTCATATTCAAAATAGCATGTAATTAATATTTTAAATGATTTTTTATGAGAAAATAAATGCTGAATTAACTTTAACATTCAAAATAGCTAGTAATTAATATTTTAGAATTATTTTTTGATGATAAAATAAATGCTGAATTAACTTTCATATTCAAAATAGCGAGTAATTAATATTTTATAATGATTTTTGATGAGAAAATAAATAAATACTGAATTAACTTTCATATTCAAAATAGTAAGTAATTAATATTTTAGAATGAATTTTGATGATACTGAAATACCTTTCATATTCAAAATAGATGGTAATTAATATTATAGAATAATTTTTGATGAGAATTTAATTGCTGAATTAACTTTCATATTTAATATAGGGAGTAATTAATATTTTAGAAAGATTTTTGATGAGAAAATAAATGCTGAATTAACTTTAACATTCAAAATAGCAAGTAATTAATAATTTAGAATAATTTTTGATGCCAAAATAAATACTTAATTAACTTTAATATTCAAAATAGAAAGTAATTAATATTTAGAATGATTTTTAATGAGAAAAAAAATTATGAATTAACTTTAACATTCAAAATAGCAAGTAATTAAAATTTTAGAAAGATTTTTGATTAGAAAAATATGTTGAATTCACTTTATATTCAAAATAGGAAGTAATTAATATTTTAGAATGATTTTCGAGGAAAAAATAAATGCTGAATTAACTTTCGTTTTCATAATAGGAAGTAATTTATATTTTAGAATGATTTTTGATGAGAAAATAAATGCTGAATTAACTTTTATTTTCAAAATAGCAAGTAATTAATTAATATTTTAAAATGATTTTTGATTAGAAAATAAATAATGAATTAACTTTAATATTAAAAATAGGAAGTAATGAATATTTTATAATGGTTTTTGATGAGAAAATAAATGCTGAAATAACTTTAGTATTCAAAATAGCATGTAATTAATATTTTAGAATAAATTTTGATGACAAAATAAATGCTGAATTAACTTTATTATTTAAAATAGGGAGTAATTAATATTCTAGAATAATTTTTGAAGATAAAATAAATACTGAAATAACTTTTATATTCAAAATAGGAAGTAATTAATATTTCTGAATAATTTTAGATGAGAAAATAAATGCTAAATCACTTTTACATTCAAAATAGAAAGTAATTAATATTTTAGAATGATTTTTGAGGAAAAAATAAATGCTGAATTAACTAACTTTCATATTAAAAATAGGAAGTAATTAATATTTTGATGAGAAAATAAATTCTTAAATAATTGAATGATTCAAAAGAAAATAATATAAAAATAAAAATAAAATAGGAAGTAATTTTTTAGAATAGCTATACTTGAAATGCAATCAAACAATTAAAATATCTAACTTAGTTGGTAATAAATTTACTAAGGGTCGAATAAATTTATATTATCTACTTAAATAGAAAGTAAACTATTATAAATAATATTTATTTTCTCACTTAACCTTTAAATAAATTAGGGTAAATTTTAAATATAATATTTGTGGTAGAAGAATATTGATAGGATAGTTAACATAAATTTAATTTTTTGAAAGTAGTTAATGTTTTAAATAACATTATTTATTATTTTCAATAATCTTAAAATATTATAAACCCATCTTATTCAAATAATTTTTGTTTTTAAAATAGTGAAGCAACTCTCATTATTTGTCAAAATCTTGTGACACAATTGAAGAATTCAGAGATGCTCTTTTTTATTTCTTATTTGTTATCAATAAATAAATAACTTGAATAATATACAAATATTAAATATAATATTATTTTTTTGTATATCTATATGTTATATTATATGTTGTATAAATTAAAAAAAATTTTTAAAATATAAAATTATGTTTTTAAATATCTTTTGGTTAAACATACGATTACCTCTTATACTAATAAATATTTTCTTCGCGAAAGCTCAGAAGATATGGTGAATAATTTTGGTATCACCTTAGCTTCCCTCTGAAAAATGGACAAGTTTAGTTAAGGTATTTTCTCTATTTATTCTTCAGGTATTATTATAAGTAACTTTTTGTATGCAATATTATTTAATTATAAAAGATAATTATACTTCTCAAATTCCTTGTGGAGAAAGGAGTATTATTCGGTATAGTCTTCCTTTAAGAAATTAAATTTAATGAAAGCTTTTTTTTTATGTTAAAACATATTTTAATTTTTCTTATTAATTTAGTGTCTAAAAACAAATGAAATTTAAATTAGATATTTTAATTTCAAGATTAACAAACATAAAACTAAATTTCTAATATAAATAAATAGCTTTATATCTAATAATGATATATGGTTATTGAGAACTATTTAAAAATTTAAATTTAAAAACTTAAATAAATCAAATTTTTTTGAATTATAATGATGCTCAATCAGCTCTTTTTTAACATATTGATATTTAATTTACATATTTTCAACTTTAATCTGAAAGAAAAATAGAAGAAGAAAAAAATAAATTATCCTTTATTATCAGTTTTGATCAGTAAATTTATAAAGATAAGCTGATTTTAGTATAATAATTATATATAAAATTCAAAAAAAAAACTAAATTTAGAAAATAAACAATTATTGTGAGAGATATTTTGTAAATATCTAATAAAAGTTTAATTGCTAGAATATTTTTTATTAGAATTTATGAAATTAACATAGCTTGAAATAAATTTTATGTACAAAATAAAGTAAGAATATTTAAAGAAAATATAAGAACAAAATTAATTAGTCAGAAAGTCAGTAAGTAAATTAGTTATATAAGTTATTGGGTTTTATTATAATTTTTCAACTCTAGTTTTTATTTTTATAATCAAAGTAAAAATGAGATAAGAATTATTAGTGAAAATGTAATAATAATTGAGTTTGTTGTAGCAAAACACGAAGTACCATCACTGGAAGCGTAAGGAGTTCCAGGATTACAGGTTGAACAATCTGAATCTACCCAACCACTAGTTTAAGTACAATCAACAGAGACACAAGCTCCTTGGGAATTAGCAAATTAACTATCTCCATCATCTGTTCCATTACATAGACCGCATTGATCATTAGTCATACCTGTTGTGGCCATACAATTTACACAAGCAGATCCATCGGAGAGGGCTCTGTATCCTGTTTAATAACAAGCAGCACAATCGCTATCAGTCCAAACCTCAGCTGCTTAAGTAGGATCTCTCCCAATACATTAAACAGAAGGATCAGCACATCCTGTACCAGCAGAGTTTGCAAATGGGGTTGAAGGAGTGCAAAGAGAGCAATTATTATCAGTCCAATTAGACGAAGCACTGCATGACTATGTAGAAGCAACACAACTTGTACCATCAGATGTTGCATATGGTTCTGAGGGAGTACATATTAGACAATTTGCATCAGTCCAACCTGATGTTGAGCTGCATGATTAAGTAGCAGCAACACAACTATTTGAATCTCCAGAGGCAAAAGGTTTTTAAGGAGTACATAATGCACAGTCTGAGTCAATCCAATTGGAAGTTGATGTGCATGACTAAGAAGAAGCAACGCATTAATTACCATTTGCTGTAGCATAGGGTTAAGAAGGGTAACATAAATTGCAATTAGAATCTGTCCATCCAGAAGTAGAATTACATGAAATAGTAGAATTTACACAACTGGTACTATCAGCAGTTGCATATGGAGAGCTTGGATTGCATAATTAACAATTGCTATTTGTCCATCCTGATGAAGAAGAGCATGAAATTGTGGATGCAACACATTGAGTTCCATCACTACTTGCAAAAGGACTTGATGGAGTACATAAACTGCAATCAGAGTCACTCCAGCCTGAATTTGAGCTGCAAGATTAAGAAGAAGCTACACAACTTTTTTTGTCAACAGCAGCGAAAGGTGATGAGGGGTTGCATAGAGAGCAATCACTATCACTCCATCCTGAAGTGGCATTACATTCAACTGTTGAAGCAACACAATTGGTTTAATCTACTGTTGCATGTATTTTAGTTCCAGGGAAGCATGCAGCACAAGAAGTATCAGTCCAACCAGAAGTAGAACCACATGATTGTGTTGATTAAACACAAGTAGTTCCATCTCCAGAAGCAAAATATGTACTTGATCCATAGCATAATTAGCAGTCACTATCGCCCCAGTTAGATGTAGATCCACAAGATTAAGAAGAAGCAACACAACTAGTACCTCCAACAATTGCATAAGGTGATGAAGGACTACAAATATTGCAATTAGAATCTGTCCATCCTGATTTAGAGGTACATGAAATAGTTGAGTTCACACATGAATTAGTATCTGTGGAAGCATAGGGAGTTTAAGAACTGCAGAGAGCGCAATCAGAATCTGACCAGCCAGATGTAGAGGAACATGAAATTGATGATTTAACACACTATGTCGAATCACTTGAAGCGTATTACTAAGAAGTGCCATAACATGCTAAGCAAATAGCATCAGTTAAACCAGAATTTGAGCTACAAGATTAACTAATTTAAACGCATGTATTACCTGCAATATTTGCATACAAATTTGTAGAACATAATTAACAAGTAGTATCTGTCCATCCAGTTCCAGAAATTGGAGTAGCATTACACGAAGAGGGAGTATTAACACATAAGGTACCGCTTTAATTAGCATATTAAGAGTTACTAGTTTAACTTAAACAACTTTAGCAAAATAAATCACTCAAACCAGTTTAAGAGTTTGATGTTGAGCTATAGTTAGTGCAATCTTATATGATGCACAAATTTTAATTATCTGTTGATTAAATCCAAGTAAAACCTGAAGCTGGAGGACAATTTGAGCAATCTGAACTAGAACAGTTTACATCTGCGCCAGGAATCTAAGCAAATACCTAACTTAGAGTTAAAAGATAGAAAATAAGAAATTTAATATTCATATCTGTTTTTGTAGTTTGTTTTAAATAGTTAATTTTTTGATTTTAATTAATTATAAATTTTTATATGAATTAAATTTCAGGTCATATAATAAGGAGAAGGTTTTCAATCATTTCAGGCTAAATTAAAAGGTGAGCATTTATTTATTTATATAGATAGTAACCTAAATAAGATAAGCTATAAGAAAATCATAATAGATAAAATATTCTTTTATGGTATTTTAATGTTTTTATTTAAAATTATATTTAATATTTAAAACGTAAAGTTTTGAAAATACCCAATTCGATAAGATTTACTCTTTAAATCTTCTACTTTAAACATCTTGCATTTTTATCTAAAATTTAAATGAAATAATAGAGGAAATTATTGTTAAATAGAAATGTATTAATAAGTAATAATAGAGGAAATTATTGTTAAAGAGAAAAGTATTAATAATAAATAATAGAGGAAATTATTGTTAAAGATAAATATAATGATTTGAAATAATCAATTTCACAATCTATGTTTTTTTGGAAAGATTATTTACAAATTTAGATAATTGATTAACTGAAAAAAAAGAAGAAGATTGTGTAGGACTCTTTTAATTTATTTCTCAAAATCTGAAATACGCTAAAAAAGATACTTAAAAAAATTTCAAATGTAATTTTGGCAGAAATCATCAGTCAAAACATATTCATTAATAAAATACCTGAAATAAAAATCAAATAAATTTAGAAAAAAAACGAGGAATAAATAGAAAAACATTAAAATTGATTTATTTTTACAGAAATAAAAATAATACAAAACACCATGTAAGATTGCATTTTTAAAAGAAACCTTTAATCTTTAAGTGGTCTTCCTATATAGTTTTTATATGCATTATATAAATCGTCTTTCTTAATTATTTAATTAAAATATTAGATTTACAAGATCAATAATGTGATTAAAAATAATTAAAAATCACCTGAATTCACTTTTTCCAATTCATCAATTAAGGTGATTTTTGTTTCTAATTAATTTAAATTGTAATTCTATTTAATTGTTAAGAAATACATAACAAACCTTAAAAGGCATCCGGTAAAAGCTAAATTAAATTTTTTACCTCATAAAAAGTTATTTGTTTCTTTATTAAGTAAAAATACACATAAATATATTTATATTTGTAGTATTTTTTTTGAAGTAGAGCTTACAAATTAAGCTTCGTATTGACAACCAATTAGAAAGTAATGCTAAATGATAAGCAAACATTTAACAAAAATTAAGGAGGTTTATGCTTAAAAACATTTATAAAATACTTAAAATTATTGTAAAAAATGAAAATTATATTTAAAATATCTAAATATATTTATTAAGTATTGCCTATGTTTTTATAAATGAAATATTTACAGTAAACACTTGCTTAATTTTTTTTTTTTTTAAACTCAATAATTGTAATTCAAATTCAATATTTAAAAGTTAATTAATTAGGTCATGCTCTTTTAAAAGAAACAGCTAGAAATTTTATACTCAAATTAACTAATCATATATGCTAACTTTTTAGCAAACTATTGATTTTTCATTTATATTTATTAAAATTTACTTCATTTCCTTATCATTTTTTATAATTAATTATATTTGCAAAAATTGATTAATTAAGTATAATAGACTGAAATCTTTTATCCTTCTAGAATCATCATATATATCATAATTAATTTTTTCTTAATCATATATAATAAATAATCTACAATCAAATGTAAATTTTTCTAATTACAAAGAAATAAACAATTTTTTGAAAAATTATAAGCCATAAAGTATAAATAGAAGGAAGATAATAATTATTAAATGTATCTCTTTGAAAAAAACCTTTATTTTTTGAATTAGATGAAATATTATTTAAAATCACTCTTTTAAAAATCTCTTAATCATAAACAGCTATTTTTTCAAAGCAGATTTTTAAGCTATTTCAAAAGATATCTTAAGACAAAGTTGAGTTGTTTAATTTTAATTTATATCATTAAATAGTAAATACTTAATAAAATTAAAAAAATAAATTAATAATAATTTTATTTTTAAATATTTTAATCAAAGAAATGTCTCTTTATTTTTATATTAATTTATCAGTGATTTGGAAACTTATGTGAGAGGTAAGATGTTATTTAAAATCTCCCACTTTTAATTAATCATAAGCAATTATTATTTAAAGAAACTTTTGAGTAATTTCAACAGATATCTTAAGATTCAGATGGATTGTTTAGTATTAATTTATATTATCAAATTGCAATTGCATAATAGAATTTTTAAAATAAATAACTTAATAACAATTTAAGATTAAATAATCTTATACAATAGCTGAAAAACAATTTTTTTATATTTAACTATTTGAAAATAATTAATGAGAAGGTAGCAATTAGTAATAAGGATAGCTAACTACCTTATATACTTTAAAAAGAAATTAGTAAGTAAAATTAAGAAAAACACTTTATATTCTTAAAGTATTTATTAGTGGAAGGAAAGTTATTAAAAATAGATACTCAATAATAGTCATAAAAAAATTTTCGATTATTTAAGAATACCGTAGAATACACGATAACTGGTAAAATGTGAAGTTACTACCCCGAAGCAAAAAATTTACTATTTTTCAAAAATTACAAGAAAATTGTGAAAATTAGTTTGAGTGAAAATTATTTGAGGATTTACTGTAAATTATAATTTAGTTACTCTCTATCATTAAATTCAGAAAATCTAATCTATTTTAAAATCTTAATAAATGATAACATTCAATGAATCATTTCAATTATTAATACTCGTTAAATAAACATATAAATTTCAAAAAATTATTAGCCTATTTTCATAAATCTAAACTTAATTTATAAATTAGCTGAGTTTTAAATTAAAATAAAATCTGTCAAATTTCTTATCTCAGAGTCAAACCTCCTAAATAAAATTTTTGAAAAATAGCAAATTCTTAACAGACAATTCAACAATTTTGATAATTTTGAAATAATATATATGAAATTTTTAACATTTTTAAAGATTAATATATACAAGATAATATAAATATTTACAAAGAAATAAGATTATTCAGTTAGTTTAATTGATTTAATCATATAATTAAGGAGGTAAGAATAATAAATTAAAACGAGAGAATTAAAGAATTAGTTACACTAAAGCACGAAACACTATCACTGGAAGCGTATGGAGTTTCAGGATTGCAAATTTCGCAATCTTAATCAACCCAACCGTTTTTTTAAGAGCAATTAACAGGCACACAAGCTCCTTGAGCATTTGCATATTAACTATCTCCATCATCTGTGCCATTACAGAGACCACACTCATAGTCAGACAGACCTTTTGTGGCAGTGCAGTTAACACAACCAGATCCATCGAGTTTTGCTCTGTAGCCAGATTGATTGCAAATTGCACAGTCGTTATCAGTCCAAATTTATGTAATTTTATTTGAATCTCTATTAAGACATTTAACTATAGGATCTACACAACCTGTTCGATTTGAATTTGCAAATGGATTTTAAGGATTGCATAGAGAACAGTCACTATCAGTCCAATTAGACTTTGCTTTACAAGACTATGTAGAGTTGACACAGAATGTACCATCTGCTGTTGCAAATGGTTATGAAGGATTACATTATTAACAATCAGCATCAGTCCAGCCTGATGTTGAATCACATGATTAGGTAGCAGTAACACAGCTATTTAAATCTCCAGAGGCATAGGGTTTATTTGGATTACACAATGCACAATCAGAGTTTGTCCAAAAAGAAGTCGAGCTGCATGATTAAGAAGAAGCAACACACTTATTTCCGTTTACAGATGCATAAGGTTAAGAAGGGTAACATAAATTACAGTTAAAATCTGTCCATCCAGAGGTAGAATCGCATGAAATAGTAGATTTTACACAACTTGTACCATCAGCAATTGCATATGGAAGCATTGGATTACACAGTTAACAATTTTTATTAGTCCATCCTGATACAGAATTACATGAAATAGTTGATGCAACACATTTAGTTCCATCAAAACTAGCATAAGGACTTAATGGGGTACATAAATTGCAATCATAGTCACTCCACCCTGAAGTTGAATTACAAGATTAGGAAGAAGCTACACATCTCTTTTTATCGGCAGTAGCAAAAGGTAATTAAATATTACATAGAAAACAATCAGCATCACTCCAACCTTAATTTGCATTACATTTAATAGTTGAGGCAACACAATTTGTTGTATCTACTGTAGCATGTATTTTAGAACCAGGAAAACATGCTGCACAAGATGCATCAGTCCAGCCAGAAAAAGAAGCACATGATATACCTGATTAAACACATGCTGTATCATCTCCTGAAGCAAAATATAAATTGGATCCATAACATAATTAACAATCTCTATCACTCCAACCAGAATTAGATCCACAAGATTAAGAAGAAGCAACACATCCAGTACCGCCTACAATAGCAAAAGGTAAACTAGGGTTACAAATATTACAATTTTAATCAGTCCATCCTGACTACAAACTACACGAAGCAGTTGAATTCACACATTATGTACCATTTGAATTAGCAAAGGGTGTTAAAGAACTACAAATTGCACAATCAGAGTCTGTCCATCCTGCTTAAGAAAAACAAGAGATACTTGATTTAACGCACTTCGTTTAATCACTTGATGCAAACTATTATGAAGAACCATAACAAGCAAGGCAAAGAGCATCAGTAAAATTAGATTTTGAGCTGCATGATTAGTTAATTTAAAGACATGTTGTGCCTGCAATATTTGCATACAAAATCGAAGAGCATAATTAACATGTAGTGTCAGTCCAACCAATTCCCTAAATAGGATTGGCAATACATGAAGAAGGAGTATTAACACACATAGAACCACTTTGATTTGTATATTATTACGAAGAGCCATAGCAGGCTAAACAAATTACATTAGTTAAATTAGTATTTAAGCTACAAGATTAGCTAATTTAAACACAAGTATTGCCAGCAACATTTGCATACAAATTTTAAGAACATAATTAACATGTAACGTCAGTCCATCCAACTCCTGAAATAGGGTTAGCTGTACAGGAAGAGGGAGTACTTACACATTATGTACCACTTTGATTTGCATATTGTTTTGAAGAGCCATAACATGCCAAACAAATTGTATCTGTTAAATTCAGATTTAAGCTACATGATTAATTAATTTAAACACAAGTGGTGCCTGCTACATTTGCATATAAATTGTTAGAACATAATTAGCATGTAGTATCAGTCCAGCCAGTTCCAGAAATAGGACTAGCTGTACATGAAGATGGAGTACTAACACATTATGTACCACTTTTATTTGAATATTACAATGAAGATCCAAAGCAAGCTAAACAAATTGTATCTGTTAATTTGGAATTTGAGCTACATGATTAGTCTATTTAAATACAGGTAGTTCCTGCATTATTTGCATATAATTTATTAGAGCATAATTGACAAGTACTGTCAGTCCAACCATTACCTTATATAGGATTATTTGTGCATGAAGAAGGAGTATTAACACATAAAGTACCATTTTGGTTTGAATATTACGAATTATTGGTTTAACTCAAACAACTTAAACAAAATAAATCACTTAAACCAGTTTATGTTTTTGAGGTTGCGCTATAATTGGTGCAATCTGATATTATGCATAAATTAGGATTATCTCTTGATTAAGTCCATGTAAAACCTGCAGCTGCAGGACATGATGTCGAGCAAGACGAGCTAGAGCAAGTGACTTCAGCACCTGGGATCTATGAAAATACTTAAGTAAAAGTTAAAATTTATGCAATGATATACTTAATTTTCATGTTTAATTATGTTCTTTTTTTGTTTATGATATTATGTTAACTTTTAGAAATTAATTAATTATAGAGTCTTCCAATAAATCAAATTCAATTCACCTATTAATCAAAAAAAAATTTAAGGTTATTCAGGTTAAAAAAAGTGGGCGAAATATCTAAAAAATTACAGTAGAAATTAGCGCATTCATAATTTTACAAATTTATTTCATAGATTTTTTTATAATTTTTTGAGTATTATTTTTGATAATTTAATAAAATGAATTTAAGAACATTTTTATATTTTGTCTATTATAACTTTTAGAGATAAAAAAGAAAAGTATTTAAATAAATTCATATCAAAATAGAAAAACTTTTAAATACCATTGTAAGGACTAATTTGTACATTAAATTAGCACTATCCTATCAAAGATTTTTAGTTAAATTTTTAGAAAATTAATTAATCAATTTTTTAGATTCAGCTAGAACGCTACATTAAATTATGCCTCATAATATAAATGCCAAAAAGGTAGAATGAGTATACGAAGTTTTTTTAAAAATATCAAACCAGAAATCAAAAGGTTAAGCCTCTTAAGTCGTTCTTATTGATATTTTTTAATAATAATGTAGCCAATTAAAAAAAGAAAAAACCCATATCAAAATTTGTGTAAATACTGCCTGTGATAATCTTAAACAAAGAAGTAAGTTAAAAGCTAGAAAAGAATTATTTTAAAATATTTCTTTAATTTAAAAATTTTATTTGAAGTAGCTTTTTAGCTCCTTTTTTCATAAACGCAAACAAAAACAAATTGAAGACTTTATCAATTAGATGTGATATATTTTATCATAATAATATTAATATTAATCTAACTAAGGCTTTTTGTTGCATATTAACAAATGTGGTATTTCCCTCCATTAATGTTATAGAAAACACATAAAATTTATCTCAAGACAACTGAATAAATAACGCATCTATATTTATGAACTCTAAAATTTCTCAAGTAATAAATTATCATACTAAATAAAATAAAAATGCAGAAGATTTAAAGAAGATATTAATTTTTTTTACTTACACTTTCTATAAACTATAAAAGTCATTTCATTTTCTTAAAATTATTAATTTTTTAATTCATTATTTGACTCATAAAAATTTTTCAAAATAAGTGAGAGTAATGAGTAATCTAGTTAACTGTTTTACTCTTATGAGTTAAATTTAAGTATTTTTTACATTTTAATTTATATCATTTATCCTAAAATTATATTAGTGATTACCAGCTATTAATAATTTTACTAAGTATATACCTTTTAATCTATTATTTAAATATCTTTATTTGGTATATATAATCCACATATATTGAAGCACATTTATTAAATATCTAATTTTTAAAAATTTATTGATGTATTAACAATCGCAAGAAGTGAGAGATATTTGAAAATCCCTTTAAATGATGATGAATTTAATTAATTAAATGTAAATTCATTCAAATTATTTTAAAAAATTAATTACTTAGTGCTTTTTTTTACTTGAACTTAATTAATAGTGTAACAAAGTGGGTGGATTATTATTTGCTAACTCGCATAATCAATTAATACTTAATTTTTTTCTTTTTTTCTAACTCTAGTTTATGTAGCTTACATAAGATTTCTTCCACTTGTTGTTGTCGAATTTTTATATTTTTTGAATTAATGATTTTTGTCTATTATATATTTTTGTACAATCTAACCTGATTTTTAAGAGAATTCTTTTATCAGTATTTACAAATTAGTATAAAATGAGTCCATTGTATTCTATACTTTTAGATCTAACAATTAGATAAATAAATTTACTTGAAAGAATATAAATTAATTTACAAATTGCTCACTTTAAGAAAGATTTTTTATTAGAAGGTGTTGATCAATCTTATTGTAAGTCAATTTTTTTGGTCATTTAATTTTTATAATGTAATTAGTATATTTAACTAATTTCTTAGTTTTTGTTTGCATCACTTTTTATCTACAATCAAATAATTAACAATACGACTTTTATTACTATCAAATAGTAATTTAAATTTTCGAAAGCAAAAATTTCCAGCAATTTTAAGAGTTTGAATTTAATCTTCTAAATCGCTCAATCACAATCACTTCTTTTACATTTTTTACTTAAAATACACATTAAAGAAGAAATATTAATTTTTAGACAATAGCAAATATTAGCCGCAATAATAAATATAAATAAAGTAAGGACAATTGCGAAATTTAAAAATTGCTTTTTATGCAGCGCTCAATAATTATTCTTAATTCAAAGTAAATTTTTTTGTTATTTTATATTATATTGATTTTCTTACTAAATCTTTATAAATTATTGTAAACATAGAATAATTTATAAGCTAAATCATAATAATTTAAAATATTTTAATAAATTTCATAATAAAAATTTTATTTTTTAAAATAATAAACTCAAATAAATTATTTATTTATTAGCAGTTATTAATATTAAAAATATCTTCTTTATTACAAATTAAAAAGAAAATTATTATTTTATAACAGTTAAAAGATATTATTAAAAATAAAATTTTCTTTTACAAATAAATATTAGTTGATGAATTTCAATTATAAAAATATTATCAAATGCTAAATAAAATTTTGATTAGGTGGAATTGAAAAAAAAAGTGGAATCAATTTTTTTAAAAAATTCATCAATTTCAAAGAAGACCCATTTTTAGATAAAAGTTTTTTTTTGATAAAGTCTTAAATTTGAGATATTAAGGTATAAAATTATTTGTAATTTACTATTTTGTTTTTAAAACTAAATTTATTTTTGCTTTTAATGAAAAAATTATAATGGTAGAATCATAAAATCAATAAAATAAATAAAGATAAAAAATTATTTCTCATGATTTTTTATTTACAATTTTATATTTGAAATAATTTATTTATGCTTGAAAGAAATTTTTGATGAAATAATTTGACTATTTTAAATTTGTTATTTTAATTAGATACTATGATTTAATTTTAAGTTAAACTTGATAAAAGTAGATTATAATGATCAAAATTTACTAATTTTATTGTAAATATTTATCCTTTAATTCTTTAAATAAATAAAAATATATAAATTTTTGTTTGTAGAATATTTTACATGATAAATGGCATGCTTTTTTTGGATAATTTTCAATAAATTTTCTTCAAAAATAAATTAATTAAAATATTAAATATTATTTTTCTTATAATAAATTTACTCATTTAAATTTCTTTCAAAAGCATTATACAATAATCACTTAAAATTTTAAAGGCTAATTTGATCATTTTTTAATAAAAGTTCTATATAATTTTAAAATAATCTTAATTTAATAGAAAAGATATTTAAATGAAGAAAATATTAATTTAAAAGCTAATTTTAGATATTTTTCATTTAAAAAAGCTCATTTTTAATTTTATCTCTTAATTAAGATTATAAAAAACTATATAATCAACAAATACTAAAAATTACTTTAAAATTATTAAAAGTTTTTAAGTTTACAAAAATAAAATTAGAATTTTATAACTAATTAAATATTAATAATTTTGAAAGGAATTATTTTAAATGTAAAAATACTTTTTTAAAAACTATCTTGAAATAAATAAAATACTTATTTATTAAGAATTATTATTTCAACAAATAGATTCTTCTAATATTTAATACAATTACTAGTTTGTAAAATTAATTTAGTCTTTTTAAAAATATCATTCAAAATAAATAAATAAATTATTAAAATAAATTAGTTACATTAAAATAATTTAATAAGAATATCAATCTTAGATATTATTAATTTAAGGATTATTTACTTAATTCAAATTTCAAAAAATATCACTAAAATAAATCCTGTATTGAACTCTTATAGTTAGTAAAATATTCCTTAACCATTTTTTAATTATATAAAAAACTATAAAGATGATTTTTACTTAGGAGGAAACATTTTGAAAATAAAAAATATAACCATTTTTTTGGAAAATTTATTTTTTAAGGTAGCTTTGATTAATGATAATACATGATATATAATTTCATTACAATCCTGTAAAAAATAATATATAGACACTCTGAAGATTCAAAATCTGAAAATTTCTTAAGCTAAATTAGAATCTAAAAGCTATAGAGTTAATTATTTCTGTTCTGTTTAGAGAAAGATCAATCAGAGATTATTAAGCTAGACTTTAAGATAGACTCATAATATCTCCTATTTATATTTGAATATGTTCTAAGAATATTTTAACGTTTCTTAGTACCAGATCTCTACTAAAATACTAATTTAGTATAAATAATTTATATTAGAATTAATATGGAAGATTAACTGATTTTATCTAGAACGTATTTTAAAGTATTATTTTTTTTATAACTTTTAGTTTAAAATATTCATTCAGTTTATCTAAATAAATAATAAATGTATTAACATATGATTGCAATTGATAAAATTATTTTTTTATCTCAAAATCCATATTTTATTCTTTAAAATAAATATTCCATAAATTTCACAAAGTTGATAAAATTTTGATAAAAGATAGAAATTTATAATTAATTTATTAATTATTAAGCTTTAAAATAAAATAATAAATACAAAAAAATATTAAAAACATTTTTAGAAAATATTACTGATTTAAGTAAGATATTAAATTAGTTTTATTTATACTTTGATCTTTTTAAATGCATTTTAAAAAAATTAATTTCTTTAAATTCTTATTTACTTACTTACTCACTCATAAATACATTGTATATTTTTATTTATTTTTAATTCTTAATTCTAACAAATATTTAAAATACAAAATAAACTCTTTAAATTAGGTTTTTTATAAAAATATTTTTTTGTTTGCATGTAAAAACGCTGCTAATTTTATAAAATTCTTTGATTTCATTTGGGCAAATTGTTAAACCAACTTTTAATATCAGCTAATTATTTTGGATATAATGAATGTGGTAAGAAAGGTTCACTTTAGAATTTGCTATTTTTAAACTAGGAAAGAAGTCTTTAGTAGCTCTATCTAGCTAAGAGGAAAGGAACTACATCATCAGATTCTCCGTGACTAAGGAAAATAGGCATTTCGTATCTTGCTTATTCTAAGTTGTTTATTTCTATGAATTTGAAAAAGTACCCACTTAATCCTATAATACCTCCAAGAACGCTTGGATAAGTAATGCCTGTGTAAATACTCATTGCGCAGCCTTGAGAAAAACCACCAATAAAAACCTTCTTACTGTTTCCTAGTATTTGTACTTCTTCGTCTATTGTCTTTTTAATAATTTCATAACTATCTTTGACTTCAGATACTGAGTAAAGATCTTCTTCTTTCATAGTATTTTTATCTAAACTTTTGATATCGTACCAGCTATTGCACTCAAAACCATCATTTACAGTAACTGGTCTTTCTGGTGCTGTAAGTAAAACTACTTTTGTCTTTTCAGGAGTAGGATCAACAGGTGAGTCAAAAACATCATAAAATCCTTCAGCACTGTCTCCAAGTCCATGCAACCAAATTAATGTTCTTTCATGACCACTTTTAGGAGTCAAAATGATATCTTAGCCTCTTCTTTTGGCTGAATATTTGGATGCTGATGACACTGTTTGTTTATTAAATGTCGAAGTTAGAAATCCCAAAATTATAGTTATTGATAATAATATATAATGAAGAGTTTTTAAACTCATTTTTGATTGATAAAATAAACACAAAAGATTTGTATGTAAAGCGGAATAAAATAAGTAGAAAGTGGTGAATTTATTTGAGCTTTTATAAGAATTTAGAAATTCTAAAACCAAAATGATCAGAGCAAATATGCTAAAAAGCTTAATATTGTCTTTATTGTTTATAGCTTGTTTTTAATGCGAAATACTGGAATATTTTTACTGTTTGTGTAACAACGGAGAATCTTTCCAGAACAAGTTTTGTATTATACAAATGCAGCAGAAGTAAATCTATTTGAAATCAAGTTAATCATTAAATATCAATTAATTAGCTAAATAAATATAATTCTTCTATTAATTTGTGCATGCATTTCATGTTTGATCAATATATATGTCAATAAATATAAAAATAAATATCTTATCTCTTTTTATAACAATAAAATTTCATCCTATCATTAAATCTCTATCAAATTATTTAATATAAATTAATAAATGCAACTGAGTTACATTGATTTTTTAATCTCGAATGAATAAGTTAATTTTTAAATTCTCTTCATATTATGCAATAATTTTGTTGGTGCGAAAATGAAGAGAAGTTATTGATTAATTTATTAATTAATTTTATTATTAATTTATCAAAAGGATTTTGAAATTTATTAAAATTTGAATGAAAAAATTAAAATAATAAAATAATTTAGCATTTATTTAAATTTAGTTTTCGAATAAAATAAGAAATAAAATGATTATTTTTTTAGAGGGATTTCAAATAATTATTTAAAAATGAATGAAGAAAATGAAATATAATTAAACGCAAAATTTATTTAGTAATAAATTAATTAATTTGATTGATTTGTCAAATTATTTGCAGAGAAAATCAAAATTTAAATTTAATTTGATAAAATAGAAAGAGAAGCTGGAGAACAGAGATAAAAAATAAATAAAAGGACACAAAAAAATAAAATAAGGAGTTAAAAGTAGAGTAAGTAGGTTACTTGAATAAGATACGGAGTTGTTAGTAGATAGATTTATTGGATTTAAATAAATAAATAAACAAATAATAAAAACAATAAAAGGATAGGTTTAAAGAGCAGCTTAAAGTATTAAAAAAAGGAAAAAAAAGTGGCTTTACTAAAAATATAGTTATTTCTTTGTTTGTTTTTCTTTCATATATAAAGAAACCATTAATAAGATTCATTGATTATTCAAAGCGAATATACAATAATTTATATGAAGGCAATTAAAATAGGCAAATAAATGAATTATATAAGCAATTATGTGAGCAAGCAAGAAAGAATGTTAGCTTTTTTGGGTTTAAATTTACTTTACTAATATATAGCAAATAATTTATTAAAAGAGCGGCAAAGACTAAGAAAAGAAGAAGAAAGAAAAAAGCAAAAAGAAGTTTAATACAAGCAAATTACCTTATATAATTATAATATATATATATTTATTTATTTAATTCTTAATTGTTTTGTATAGCAAATTATACTAGCTAGCTTGAAACCATAAATAAATAAATATTTTTATTAGACGCACAAGCATTCTTTTTATAAAGTTTAAAATTAACACACACATAAATTTAAATACTGCATTTATTATGAGTGATTCTGCCGTCGAGCAAATCAAGCCAGATGAATAGCTTAATCATATGTAGTTGAATGATCAGCCAACTGCTTCAGGTATTTGATTATTCTTTTAATAGCAGTTGATTAACTTTTTTCAATAAAAGAAAGCAACGAATAAGAATAAAATGGAGTTCATGAGGACTAATAGGAATAAAGTCTAAATAAATCTGTAGATGAATAGCATTAGTTAGTTAATGGACATAGTCACAATATTAATGGAGACAGTGAACATTTAGTTTCAAATGGCAATGAGTATTTAGGTAAAGGTAATATGAAGTAGATTGATGAAGCAAAAAACGGAATTGAAACCTAAAATGAAGCTAATGGTACAGGAGCAGAATGTAAATATTTATAGATTGTTTTAAAGATTTAGTTGTAATAAAATGTGGGATTAATTAAGTTTCTGCTTTTAAACAATAGAAAGTATTGAAGAGGATTAAGCAAATAGTCAGTAAAAGTAATAAGATGATTAAAAGGAAAATATAGATGAATAAGCTGAGTAGCAAGGTTAAGATGAGAAACAAGCAGATGATTAAGTTTAAAATATATAAGAAATAAATGAATAAAATGGAATTAATGAAGAAGTTAATAAAGATTAAAATAACAATCATATAGATGATAATGCCCAAGAGCATGCTGACATGATTGAAGAAATAGAAAAATAAAAAGAATAATTCAAGTAAATCGCACAAATGTAGGATGATGGAAATGATTAAATTGAACATGAATGTTGTCATGAAAATGGGATTCATAATGATTGTGAAAATAAAATGGAGGTAGAATAATAGGAAGGCTAAAAAAGCTAAGAAAATAATGTAATTGTTGAAGGTGAACAAGGCGAAAACAAAGAGTAAAATGAAAAAAGCGAAAATGATGCTAATAAAGAGGATGGATTAGAAGTATAAAATGAAAATAAGAAAGAAGAAAACGAAGATTAATAAGATTAAGGGAATAAAGAAGATGAATAAGAAAATTAAACTGATAAACAAGATAATAAAAATAATGATGAAAATCAAGAGGAACTAGAAAAGCAAGATACCACTGAAAAGGTAGAATAAGAAGTTACTTAAAAGGAGGAAAAGAAGAAAAGAAAGAAAAATAAGAGGAAGAAAGAACTAGAGAAATAGCAAGAAGAAGAGGAAGCAAATAATGAGAATAAAGTAGAACAAGCAGCTGAAGAGGAAAATAATGAAAATAGCAATCATGCTAATAATGAAGAATTAGAAAATAAAGAAAAACCTAAGAAAAAAAAGTACAAAAGAAAGAATAAAAATAACGAAAAAGAAAAAGAAGAGAAAGATGAGGCAAAAGAAGATGCTGAAAAGGAAGATAAAGACGAAGACAAAGATAATGATAGGGAAGATAAAGATGCTGCTGAAAATGACAAAGAAGATAAAGACGAGGAAGGTTAAAATGATGAAGATTAAGAAGAAGATGCAAATGCAACTACAAAAGAAGAAAAGAAGAAAAAAAAGAAAAAAGAAAAACAAGTAGGAAAAGACTACCGTTTCTCTAAATTGGCTAACTGCCACATGTGTAAAAGAAAGAATAAATATGTTTACGGTTGTTATAAAAACTGGATTCCTACTTCTTGTAATAAATTTTTCTGTATTGACTGCTTGATGAATGGATTAAAAGAAAACATTCTCTTGATTGTCCAGAAAGAAGAAACTTGGAAGTGCCCTTATAAAAAAAATACCTGTTTGTGCAGACACTGTTTGAACAAAAAAGAAGATTTTTAAATCCCTCTAATTGAAGACGACAATGAAATTCCAAAACTTTTCGGAGAAGCACCATCTAAAAAGCACAAAAAGAACGAAGAAGATGTCTATCAAACAAGACTCAACATGAAAAATAAAATGAAAAAGCTAATTGATTTTAATGGCCAACTTATATAAAAAATGAATAAATTGTAAAGTTAACTTACAAAAGAAGAAAGTGTTTTCTATAATAGACTTATTCACGACAACTTAATTGTACTCGAAAACCTCGCAAGCAAACTTGCTGACAAAGATAAAATTAAAGAAGAAGAAAACCAAGGCAAGTTCCATTACTATTGATGATATTATTAACGCTAAATTGATTTGCTAAAGCAACTCAACTCAAAATAAAGCCCTAAACTTTCAATAAAACAATATGCAAGTTAAGGCAAAAATAAATTATAAAAATTTTGAATAACTTTATAAATAATTTTTCTTCTATTTAATTTTTCTATTATTTATGCAAAATTAATAAATGAATGAATGAATGAAATTCAAACCACATATACATGCATATAAACAATCATACACATTTACACGCTAGACAGATAGATAGATTGGTTGATCGATTCATACATACATAGATAGTTAATTAACTAATAAAAAATAAATTTAATAATATAAATATCTCAAATTCAAAGATAAAAGTAAGTAATATTATTATTAAAAAATATAAATAAATAGAATAACAACAAATAAATCTATGTTTTTAATTGTTTAGTTTACTAAATAATAATTAATTTATAGCTAACTAACTCTCAATCTTTAAATCGAATTTATTCTTATGAACTTTTAAAAATTTATTTTAAATTTTCTCGTTTACTTTTTTAGCTTAAATTTTAATTTTTTTAATAATTTTCAATTTATTTTAGTTTAATTTAAATATTTTTACTTATAAAACTTTCTTTCAAATATTTTTGAATTATATTTATTTGCTAGATTTTATAAATAGAATTATCTATTAATTATTAGTCTTTTTGTTATATAAAACTAGTACTAACCAACTATCTCAAATAATATAAATGTATCAAATTTAAAGAGTTAAATATACAAAAGACGAATTATTTAATTTAATAACAGTTCTATTTTTCAAAAAATAAAAGAACGAAGGAAAGAAAGTGGAATAAATATAAATTTAGATTTCATAAACATATTTATCTGTTATTTAGGTTTCTTTGTCTATTTAAATTAATAAGACAATTAACTATTAAAAATAATAAATATAAAAAGCAAAATATTTGTTTGATTACATAAAAACTTTATTTATCAAAAAGCAATTGGTTAAAATAAGATTATTTTTTAATAATTTACTTTAATTGATAATATATTAATAAATAATTAATTATTTGCCATATATATTAAATTTTAATAAACATTTATAGAATAATAAATAAATACAATCTAAAATATTATATATTTTACCATTAGTTATTAATTTAAGCAATTAGAAAACAGGGTTGTATTTAAATAAATTTAATTGAATCTAACATAGTTAAATTATTGATGTAACATTAAAAATTTAGTTTGAATTGACAATTTTGGTAAATGACCCTCTTTTAATATTTTGTTTTTTATATCTTAATTTAAATATTTATCTAAAATTAGAGAAATAAATGGATTTATAAGTAGTAAAGTTATCCTTTGTAAAAGCTTTTTTAAAATTAAATTAAACATACTTTTGCAAATAATTATTCATTAATTTTAAATCTATTTGGTAGATTAGAATATATTTTTTAGTGTTAAAAGTATATTCAAAGCTAAAAATAATAAAAATTAAGGAGCTAATTACATATTTAACAAATTATTTTATTAGTATTTATTAATTAATTAATTATTAGTTTTTTTGTCTTCATTTTATATAAATTCTAACTAAAATAAATTGTGAAAATTAAAGGTAATTTTCTAAGAATGACTATTTAAATCAAAAAAAGAAATTAAAATAAAGTAGATTAGATTAGATATATATTAATAATGATTCTAATTCAAGAAATATATATATATTTTTACATGTCATGCATAAATAAATATAAAAGAAAATAATAATTACTAAAGAAATTAATCATTGCCTTTAATATCAATAAATAATTCAAGCAATCACACTATTAGTTAATTAATTAATTCAAGTGAAGAGTATAAAATAACTAATGAAGCACAAAGAACAACTAAAAGTAGATGACGACAATAACTAACTAAAAAGAGACTAAGTTAAATAATTAAAAGAGGAAATAACTGATACCGATAGGAGTTTGAATGCGATTTCCAAAATAACAAATTAAAATAAGTTGAATACTGTAAGCTCTTCTCACTCAATAGATGATAATCATCAAATAAATAATCCAAGTTGCATTTAATCTGATGCAACGACAAGAAAAAATGATTTTTCATTTTGTCATTAATAAAAATCAAGCGAATTTATCCCAAAATATGCTTTTGGTAGGCCAAAACCTTCTTTAAAAGAGAGTTTAAACGAGAGACCATCTACAATTTAAATGAATAATCAGTAAAATTAGAAGAAGATTTTCTTCAAAATTAGTTGGGCACCAATTAATTAATGCTTTTGTTGCTGCTTAATAGGACATGTAGGGATATCTAAGTAATCATTAATAAAAAAGCATATATATTCGAAAGTGAAAAATTAAATTATTTTATTTGCAATATTAGTTCTCAGGGCGTAGTTTATGATTTCAAAAACCATTTCTTCATCGGGGCTGATATAGGAGTAAGCTCACTTTTAAAAATTAACAGCACCTTTATAAATATTAGCAAATAATTAAGAGGAACTCATTCATTCATTCATTTAATCAATATTTCTAAAAAATCTATATATCTAATTTATTTTCCATATTAAAATATAGGATGAAGAATTAAGACTTTTTGGTAGGCCAACAAAGTAAAATGAGATAATTTAATAAATAAAAGCCTTTTGTTTGTTAATTATAATATTAATAATATTTAGAGATTTGTTTTTGGAGCTGGACAACGAAGAACAGGCAGCAAGACTGCAAGAAGTTTTGAAAAATAAGTAAGTGATGTACACAACAAAAGAAGCTGTAGTTGGCAGATATAAATTTTTAAGGTAAAATAATAAATTTGAAAAAAATATTTTAATTTAAATTTAACTTGAAAGAATATTTTAAAAAGCAATCAATTCATTTAGATTTAATTTGTTATAAACAAATTTATAATAAATTATCATTCAAATAAAAGATAATAATTAATTAATTCAAAAATTCAACTCAAGTAGAATTAAATAAAAGATAATTAAACTTTATTTTTTCAACAAATAAGTGTAAAAATAAATATAATGATTGAAATTATTAAATAAAAATAAAACCTTTTAATTATATATATTATATCCCATGCAAAATAATTTAGTAAATGCTTCAGCTGAGTAATTTTCAGGCAAATAATTTTTATTTAAACAATTTTAATAAATTGATCATTTATTTTTGGAGTAAATTATATTTTCAGACAAATTAAAAAAACTTCAAAAATTGAAAGAAATTCTGATTATCATAGTTGCTTCAAAATAAATGTAAACCTATAAATTTAATTTATTCAAAACTTAAATGATAAAATAGTTAAGCACTTATATTTATAAGCAAATTAAATAATAATTAAAATTCATATGAAACTTACTACGATTAAGTGTTATTTATACCTATTGAGATAGCTTATCTTTACATCATATAACTAATAAAATCTAATTTAACACTTAATTTTTTCAGTACAAACTAATGTAAACAAAAATAATCAATGAAGGAAAGCAAATTTTAAGTTAAACAATCAAATTGTAAATATAACAAAGAAATTCTAATAATTTAGTTGCAGCTTTACATATAATTTAGGTTTAGTATGTGTCTGTTCTTAACCTTTTTTTAAAAATTATTTAGAAGATAAAATTAAATCATTTAAAAATAAGTTTTTTAAAATTTGTTAGAAATAATTGTCATCATTTTGTGGCAGACGTGTTGAATACTTTCAGATATAAAAACAAATCAGACTACACTGCTTTATGGGTTTGGAAATAAACTTTTTTTCATGCAAAATATAGAAAGTAAATTTATTTTTATTTTATTTATATTTAAATAAATTAATTAGTTTAAAGGGATGTCTAAAGACATATTCTACTCCTTTGGTGTTGATTTTATTAGGAATTCTTTTTCTCGTCTTTTTTTTGATAGATCACTTTCTAGAATTGGGTTTATTATTTTGAAAGGCTCTATTTTTTTCTAAAGAGTTAATTATAACAATTTCCTCCACACAAATTTTCAAAACTAAATGAATAATAAATACCCTGTTTAAAGTTATAATCTAACTAAATATCAAACCAATTTATTTATTAACTCATTAAAAATAATTTCATACAAAAATAAATATGTCAGCTAATCTGACAACTAGCAAAATCATTACTTAATTAATAATTAAATTTATAAAAAAATATATTTAACTACTTTATTAAATAAAATAATTAATTAAAAACTAAATTTATATATATTAATGCAGCCAGTGTCTTAATTTTTCTATTTGTATTCTTTATTCTTCTCTGTTTATATTGTAAATAGAATATTTACTCTTATTCTTTGTCAATTTAAAAATATCCTTTTGTCTATTTTACTAATTGAATGTTATCATGCATTAATTTGTACGTAAAGATTAACTATGTTTGAATTTATATGAAAATTTAATTGCTTTTTATGATTAATTTTAATGTAAAGATTTGCTTTGGTTTAAATTTATGTAAAAATTTAAATCAATGGTATTTTTTAAGTGCGAATTTGAATCTGTGCTGTAAAAGTAATAGAAAAAAATCAAGCAAATACACATTAGAAAATAAATAAATGAATTGAGATCAAATATCAAAGAAAAATTCGATTTAATCCAAAAACAAACATAAATAAAAGTAGAAAGATCAATGAATTGAGTTAATAAATAAATGAGATTGATTGATTCAGTCACTTATTCAGAGATATTATTAACTTTTGGATATTTAAAATAACGAAAAGTAAAAAATATTGCTTGATAAATTGGTAAGACCAGTTAATAAACCAGCTAGCTAATTTATTTGTTAATCTGCGAAAAGATGTTTTTGAGCAGATTTCGATATAATATTTGAAAACATTTGGAATTAATTAATAAATTAATAAACTAATTATTTAAAAGTATTAAGATTGATTGAGTAAATTGCTATTGATTTTAATTAATAAAAAGAATGAAGACAAAAAATGACTAATAATTAGCTTAACAAAAAATAGGCAAATTTTAGAATAAGCTCAACTACGAAGTAGACTTAAACTCCTTTAAAGCAAATTAAGATTTTGTAGCCTATTAGAATAGCTATTCAGACAGGAATTTTAGCAAGCAATTTCAAACTATTTCTTTTAATCACGTGAATAATTCGCCACAATAATCTCCCAAGCTATCCTTATTAGCATCTCCTGTTAATCAGAAGAGTGTCCATAAGAAATCGATGTCTCATACCAATCTAGCGAGAAATTAGAATCTTCTACCAAATATTAGAAATTTATCTAATTCAACTAAGAACGCAGATGGAAATAGCTAGCCTAGGTATTTTAATAATCGCAAAGAAGTGATTTCATTTAGAGACAAAGTATCTAGAAGCACTTTTATATCTAGATATTCGCAATATGATTCCAATAAATATTAGTCATTAATAGAATATAATTTAATTGAAAGCTAAAAAGGATCTCAAAACACTTTCTATAAAATTTAAAATGAAATTCCAGGAAGACATGATGCAATCTTTCAAAATGATTAAATAACTCACAATATTTAACAATCAGATTAAAACTAATTTCTTACTGAATAAGTGCAGCAACATAAAGGCAGTAAAAAGATGTCTTTTTCTATGAGCCAAGTCTAGCATGAATAGAAGAAACCTCATTCTCTTGATAGCAGTCAAACTCAAAACAAAATAAATGAAAATTAAAGTTAAGATTTGCATAAATATAAAAAGATGGATGAGATGAGAGATTAACTGGATTTCAATTTGTATTGTAAGCTCAAAATCTAAGAAGTTAAGTAAACAAACGCTTAGCAAGATAATAACTTTTCAAGTAAAAAACAAAATAAGTTCAACAATACAATCAACACCTGTTTGAACAGCACAAATCAAAGTGATTAAAACATCAACCAAAAGCTGCTTTCCAACAACAAACAAAATGCTCAAGAAAGCAATTAAAATATTCTACTTGAAATTCCTTACCTTCAAAAGAAAATGGTTGAAACTATTTATTTGCAGAAGCAAGCAAAATAAATATTCGAGAAGAATTCTCAAAATAGAATTTCATAAATGCTTGATCTTCCTTATTACAAATGGAAAAGAGATGGTAAGGACAATACAGAGCAGTATTAATAATAATCTAAATCCATAATAAACACTGATGGCTCAAAGAATTAGAAAAATGTTAATAATCACTTAATTAATAAGCCACACAATTCATTAGAACAAAGCTAAATAACAATCAATATTAGCACCACTAATTAAATTCATACAGAAAATAATTAAATTCTTTCTTCATAATTATAAGACAACAATAATATCTATCAAATCAAAACAGATTAATAGTAGCAATAACTAACCTTTCCGCAATTCAAAGTCAAAATGCAAGGTCCTTAATTACAATAATAATAACAATAACAATAATAAAAGCAAATCTAAAGAAGAGACAAAAACCAAACAAGTTAAGTGTCAAAAATTCACAGAGTTTAAGATGGATATATAAAAATTGACTAATCATCTCTGAATGACATCAATAAGTCAATAAGTAATTAGAGCGATTACTTCAATGGTTTGAACATTCTTTAACTGAATTAACAGCACTAAAGTTAAAATAATATTGATTAAAATAACAGTATTAATAATTATAATGATAATAATACTACCACTAAATCTAATAATAGCAAATCAGAATAAGGATAAATTAAACCGATTAGAAGAGCTTCTGAGCATGTTTTTAATATTGATAATTTCTAAATTTAGCAACAAATGCTCTCACCAATCTCTTTGTAAAATTCTCCCTCATATGATTCAAAATTAATTAATTTTTCTTCATCTCCTTAAGTAAAAACTTCATTTTCTTTAAACAAATGCGATAATAATAATAAGAATACTCAAATTACTCCATAGAAAAAATTATTTTAAAATGATTCCAATAGTAAAAATATTTAATCTGAATTAAATGTGCTAGAAGAAGGAGTTTTAGAAAAGTCTTCATATTTTTAAAACAGTTAATTGAATTAAACAAACAATAATAATTCAAGTAGAAATAAGCAATCGTTTTAAGTTTAAAATAACTTCGAATAAAATAATCAAAGATGGAAAGTTAAACCCCAACCGCATGAATTATACAAAAAATCTATTTAACAAATATAGGATTTAAAGAGAAAATCATCGATGGTACATGATTTCAAAAACAGTGAGGATTATGAATAAAACAGCGATATCGATACTGAAAAAAAAAACGAAGTGAGCTCATCAAATTCTCTGGATATTTCGATTTAAAAAAATTAACTTTAATCATCAGAAAAGAAAAAGAAATCTATTTAAAGAAGAAATAGCTAAAATATAATTGGAAGAAGTATCTCATAAGTAATAATTCCATCAAACGAAAAGAATTAAGATGACAAAATCATTTACAGAGACTAGAAAAACCCTCTTTAAAACTAAGGAGAGGCCTTTGTTAACAAAGAATTTATTAATGATCCCCTCTTTAAAGATTTTTCTGACACTGAATAAGCAAGAAAACTTAAAAAATAACAAACTTTCAACTACTCCCTAAAAAAGCAGTCTTTTTTATTACAACTCGGGAGCCAATAAATGTCAAAATAGTAAATCCAGCAAAGTTACATCGAATAATAATAAACCAATGTTTTTAACTAAGTTGGCAATTCAACGACCTCTAATAAAAAATAGGGCCATAGAAAAGTATCTTCAATGAATTTCATCCCACTAGATAATAAATTATCCAGCTCTATCACATAAATTGGTAGCAATCCAAATATTATAATCCCAGATATTACCAGCAAATCCACTTCGTATAACTCCATTAATTACAATACCCAAAATCCAAATAGAAAATCTAGCCTTATTAAAATTTTACCTGCAGTTGAAGACACTCAAATCAGAGCTATTTAATCGTAATTTTTATTTCAATTAAAACAAATTTTTTAAAAATTTTGATAAATCATTTTGATAATTTAATAAATAAAAAATAAAATTTTTTTTGAATTTAACTTTAAATTTAATTTCTTTGAATATATGTGCTAATATAAAAATAGAGATTTTTTTATATGTTATGCTTTAAACTACATAGAAATTTTAAACAAATAAGTAGAGCCATGTAGCTTCTAAAATAATAAAAAGAAAAACTTCCCAGAAAATAAATTTATTTTTGAGTTAAAGCATTGGACTTAATTAACATCATATCAGTTCAATTAATTTAATAAATATTTTGTAACAGATATTTTTTTATTTACCTTCTTGCTTAATTCTTCTCCTCTTCATTAAGTTTGCTATTTTTTGTCTAATTTGGAGGATAAAATTGATGATTATAAAATTTAAAAGGTTCATTTTCATAAAATCTAAAAAATATTTCATTACATTTTTTTATGAATTTTTAATCATTCATAATCTCTATTTAATATAAAAATATAAATCCTTTTATTGAAAATTATTATAATCATATCAGTCATAACTTCCCATCTTCTTTAAGTTTACTATTTTTGTTTTACTTGAGAGATTTAATTGATGATTATAAAATTTAAATGAAATATTTTTATTTAAAATTAAAAGGTTAATTTATTTTTAAAAAGCTTTAAAATATGTCATAAAATTCATAGAATTTTATTAAAGAATATTCTTAAAAATGAGTTTAATTTTTAAATATTTTTATGTTTAATTTAATTAAAATTAAATAAAGGGAAAGAAAAATACAAATTTAGTAGTAAAGAGACTAATAGCTAGAATAAATTTACTAAGCCAGGAGAAATAGAGAAAAGAGATTTAGTTTAAAGCAACTTCCTGACTATCAGCATGGAGACCAAAATTATAAGATAGAGGTTGTTTAGATGAGTTAAATATAGGAAAATGATGATGAGATGAATTCGCCTTAACCTAAATACCTCAACGAGAGAAAGAGAAATTAAACTATTTTTGTTCCTTAGCTAAAATCTATTGATAATATTGGAGATTAATTATCATAAAATATAGAACAAAGAAGCTCTCCTACAAAAAAGAAAAACATTAGTGACAAACTCTTGGATAAACACTTAAATTGTATTAAATAAGATTTAACAAATTTACTCAGCCATACTTTAAAAATGAGTGATATCAAAGAAGAAATTAACTAATATGTTAACAACTGCATAGTTTTACTTTAACACGCTACAGCATAAATAATCTCATCAGTAAATAAAAATAAATATTTTATGGTAAATTACTTCTCATTAAAATTAATAATATAATTAATTCATTCTTTCATTCATTCGTTTGTTTATATTTTTCTTTTAAAATTTAGTTTTCATAAAAATTCAAATTAATTCATTCATACATTTGTTAATTAATATTTTTCTTTTATAATTTAGTTTTCAGAAGAGCAACTAAAATTGGTTGGAGAATTTTTTAGAGATAAACTATTCGAATATGGATTTGATCTTCAAGAAGTCTTGTTTTTCCATAAAAAATATAACTTTTTGATCTCATAAATATTTAGAAAAAGTCTTTTAGACTAAATAGAAAACTCAAATCCACTAAATTAGCTCATTGATGAAACTATTTCTAAGCTATCAGACAAAATAATTTTCCTTAAAAAATTTGAATTAGAAGATTTAGATAATTTAAGGAATGCTATTATGGCTATGCTCAGTGATAGCAAAGATATTTTACTTTACTACTTAGATATTTATAAAGATCTAATCAAAATACAACCTCTTGATTTTTCAATGTTAAAAATGACTCTTTATGATATCCTTAAATAAAAGCACTATTCTGACGATGTAGTTTTCTCAGTCATTGAGAAAGTAGAGAAAGTCAGAAACTATCTTTTCCCATAATACTAATTTTCTGACTCCAACTTCAGAAAAAACATTACAAGTCTCTTTTACTATGTAAATACAATTAATATTTATTTAATATATAATATAATTTTAAGAAAATCTTTTTTAATTCAATTATATTTTCTTTAATTATTATCAGGACAAAACAATTGGAGGATACTTCTTAGACCCTTCTTTGTAAACAATTCAAGAATTTATTCACTCTCTTTGGAACTGCTTGCATGGACTAAATACTTTTGAGAAATTTGCTGAATAGCTAAAGAATTTTCTTAAAATAGAACCTAATGTAAAATTTATCGAAATACTGTACGACTTCATCATTGAATACATTCAAAAAACCTTAAATGAAGATTAGATGGATGACTTAATTGTAATTTAAATTATTAAAATTATTAATTCATTAAATAAAAATAAATAAATAAATAATCTTTTTTATTAATAAATAAATAGTTCAAATTTTTCAAATTGAAGCAAATTATTAATTCGCAGCAACTTATACCTACAATAGCCTAAATAGATATTAATTAGTTAATAGAAACAATCAAAGAAATTACTCTCATAAAATCTATCAGCAAATAAATTCCAGTCGACTTAAAAGAAGCTAAAATATTTGACTACAGATTTTTATAAACTTTTATTGAATTTGTAATTGGAACTAACAAAGAAGTCATTTCAGTTTATGAAATAAAACTAATTAAAGTTGCTATGAACACTGACTTAGATACAGTCAATTTCTAGTTTGAAATTCTAAAATAGGCATTAAATACTCTCAATCTTGAGTTAAGATTTGTCGATGACATTACTTTTCTTTACAATCTCCTTCTTATCAAATAACTTTCTAAATGATAACTAACTAAATAAATAAATAAATAATATAATAATCATAATTAAAATATTTACTAAATAAATAAATAAATAACTAACTAACTAATTAACTCAAAAAAATTTTCCAAATAAATAACTTATGAAAATATTAATAAAACAATAAATTTTTATTTAAAAATTTTTTTCTATATTAAATAAATAACTGTTAATCAAAATATAAAATAAATTGTGTAGATAAATTCAGAGTCTTTTAAGAGTTAAATAAAAACTAAAAGAAATATTTAAAAGCTGTTTATATTTAAAAATATATTTTTCTTGGTCTTTAAACCATTATTTTATGTATTTATGTATGTTTATAATTATAAAGATATCAATTTATTTATTATATTTATTTAATTAAATTTCTGAAATTGTATCCAAATTTTTATATTAATTAGATAATAGATTCAAGGTAGTTTCTCATTTTTAATATTATTAGAATGGGATAAAGACTATATTTATTACAAATTTATTTATTTATTTATTTATTTATTTATTTATTTATATTTGAATGCTCTGAGGAAGATTTGAGGTATTTAATATTACAAAACATAATAAAAAGCATTAATTAATAAATAAATGAATGATTTTTTATTTATAAAATGAAATAAAATTTTAATATAAAAACAAAAAATTGAAAACATAAAATAAAAAACATAAAAATAATAAAGATTTAATTTACTTTTAATTAACTAAAATTAACTTATAATAAATAAAATATTAGCTTTTTTTATAGATTTATTTATGATCAAATATTTTTATTTGTAATGAAATTTTAAAAGAAATCAACAACAGAATTAAACCTTTCAGATAGAGATTTGCTTTATTGCTGTTATTATGGATACAAATCTATTGTCTTTTTTTATTCGCAGTTAGTATTTTTATCTAATAAAATTTTATACTAATCTTCTAATTTTTTGAAAATCTATTAATGTTTTTCAAAGCTATTTTCTTTTACTTTTTTCAAATTTTCTTTTTCAAAAATTTAAACATTTTTATCAACAACTTCAGAAAACAACCTTTTTTTATTAATTGGTTCTTCCTATGGTTTTTCTTGATCTAATTCTGAAGTTCTAATTTAATTTTATTCTATTAATTTATTTTCTTGTTCATCTTGAATTGGTTCTTAGATCTCTTAAGCTTTGTCTATATTTTAATTTGATTGACTTTTCTAATTATCTTATTCCAAGTTAGTATTTTCAATAACTTTATTTTCATTTTATTTCTCCTTTTATTCACTTTGATTACAATTTAACTAATTTTATTTTTCTACTGAATTCACTTTTTCAACTTTTTCTTAAAACTTTTCCTCTAATTTAAGAATTTTTTTGTTTTATGCATTTTCTTATGGTTTTAAGTCTTCTACAATTTAATTATCTAATTTTTTATCCTCTGATTTTTCTACCTTAGAATTTTATGCAGATACTTGATTTAGAGTATTAACTTTGCTTTCTTATAATTTCCTATTTTCATTCTAGGACTAATTTAAATTATTATCTTATTTAGTAATTTTTAACTATTAACTATTATCTTACAAGGTTATCTATGGGATTTATTTTGTTTTAATTTCACTCTGTTTAGAAGTATTATTTGTGACTTATCCATTTTATTCAACTTAGTTTTATTTTTTAATGTCTGCTATTTTAATCTAAGGTAATTATTTGGTTTCAGATTAGTTTTTTTTATCAGTTTAAACTTTAGTGCTTTCATTTACATTGCTTGAGTTTTTTCTTTCAGATTTTGAATCTGTAGAGTAATTTTAATTAGCTTTTTTCATCTAATTTTCCTTGATTAGTTTATTTTCAATTTTAACTTCATCAGCTTTTTCTATTGGAGAGCATATTTCTCCTTCTTCAAGTTCCATTTTTGACTCAAGCTATTCATTTAATGCGCTTTTTTACTAAATTTATTGTTACTATTTTTATTTGTTATCTTCTTTAATCTCATTTTTTCTTTAATCTTGAACATTGTTAATCTATTTACTTAACTGATTTCTATTTGCAATTAACATATTACTATTTTGAATAGGCAAATTTATTTTTGGTTAATTTTAATTTTAAGCTTACTTTTAATCTGTTTAAATATTTGTTAATGTTTCTTGACCTTATTTGATCTATTAAACTTTTAACAAATTATTTTGTTCAATTTATTTTAAATTTTACTCTTAAGGTTTTTCCTATCTATTTATTTATCCTGTCTACAAATTAGTTGTTTTATTTTCAGCTGTTGTTGCTTTCTAAGTTCCTGATTCAATATTTTACTATTATTAATTTTGCTTTTCTTAAGCATTAACTTAATTTTTTTACTATTACGATATGTTGGTTTACTATTATTATTGTAGCTTTTTTTAATGGATGTTTGTATATGTGGTATCTTATTTTTTAATAGGGCTTTTTGAAGTAGATCTCCTTGCTTATTCTTAAGTTTTATTGAATTAACTTGAATTTTATTATTTCAACTCAATAGGTCTTAACTGCTTTTAAGAGTCTGTATTATTTTAGTTATTTTACTCCATCTTTTAGGTTGATTGTAATGAATTTTACCTTTAAAACAACTTTTCTTGCTAATTTGAATTGAGATTGTCCTGCTGTTATTATTATTATTGCTATTGTTATTGCTATTATTATTATTTAGGTATATTTACTGCTTGTTATAATGATTATTAATTTGTTTATTATCCTAGTTTAGGGACATTTCTGACTAAGTTATTTGTATTTTACTTTTCATTTGAGTTTTATGATTAAGTATTTTGTTATTAATTATTTTGCTTAGCAACTTAGTTTAGTCCCAAACTAGGTCTTTAGGAATTGCTGTTTTGATTTTGCTGCTATTAATTTTGCTATGCTTTATTCATATTTAAATTAAGTGAAGGAGTTTTTAAACTTGGGTTTTATTTATTATCCTAATTTTAATTGATTTTTTAATCATTTTAGATTGTTTGAGAATTCTTTACCAAATTTGGGTTGTTTGAGATGTTATTATTTGTATTTTGATTTGCAGGAGGAATCGTAGGTTTATTATTATTGAGGTTGTTATTTTGCTAAACTTCTTGACTTGGCTTAACAGAATTGTTTAAAAGTAAATTTTTGCCCAATGAAATAGAAGGTTTATTAATAATACTTGGTTATGATGAGGTTTTATTCAAATTATTAGCAGTTTACTAGTTTAATAAAGCAGTTTAATTATTTGTTTAATTTATATTTTGAAGTGGATTCTTTCTAACAAACAAATTCTAAGGCAAGGTAGAGTTATTTTATTAAACTTATTCTTATTGCTAGTTGTTTATTTTTTCTTAATTGCTTTATATTTGAATCTAGTTTTTGTTTTATTGGGATTGATTGTTGCTGTTGTTGTTACCTTTTTTTGATTTAAATTAATTTCAAATATATTTTTAATTTTAAAGAATTTAATATTTACTTTATAAGCTTGGTTTATTTTATACGACCTGAGTATTCTTAGGATCTTAGCTATTAGGTTTAGTACTTGGATTATTAAGATTTTAGTTATTCTATTGCTATTAATTAGCAGGCTTTTGTTGAGTTTAATTGTTTTAAGCTGTTATTAAAGATGGCTTACTTAAATTTAAATTTGGAATTTTTTTTTCTGCAGATTATGCAGTCTTATTTGTCTCAATTTCCATTTTTTCATTAGATTATCTTTAATTCATACTATTATTGTTTGTTGAAACTGAGTTTATTTTTTAAACTTAATTATTAGACTAAGTGTTAGAATTTAATTTAGCAATAACCTTTTGCTATTAATTTTAAGTTCCATTCTGTGTATTTTATTGCTGCTATTAATTCTAAGAAGCTGAATTCCTTTCCTGAATAATTTTTACACTGTTGCTTTGAGTGTTTGTTTGAATATTATCTAAATAATTAAAATAATTTACAATAAAGAAATAAATAAATATACAAATTTACTTGAATTAGGTTGAGAAACTCTATTCTTATTCTAATTTCTACTATCAATCTAGTTTAGAGATTGCATACTAGTAATCTTTTAGTTATTGTTGTTATTATTGCTGTTATTATTGCTATTATTATTGTTACTAATGTTGTTATTATTGCTATTGTTGTTATTTTAATTTGTGCTGCTACTTTTATTTTAACTGCTTGAACATTCTTGAGGCTGCTTTTATAAGTTTTCCATCGATTTTTGTTTTACTATGGTTGGCTTTTTAACAACTATTCTCTGAGGATCTGTGTTTGCTGATTTAATAGAATAAATAGTTTATTTTTATTTGACATTTAGAATATAAAATAGTTTATTTTATTATGATTTTTACATTAATTTGATTCTGTCTAGGAAATTTGTTAAGTCTACTGTTTTAAATTAAATAGCTAGTTAATTAAAAGTTTTTGTTAGGTAAATATTAAATAAATTACTTATGAGTTGCGAGAGCCACTATTAGTTATCTAAGGAGAAGATGAAGAAGCATTTACTGTTTTTAATCAAACAGATAAGGAAAATGTGAGACTTTAAATGGCTTATAAATCATACAAAGTAAGTAAGTAATTATTTAATGACTTAAGAGACTAGACTCTGAATGATTGATTGATTGATTAATTGATATTTTGAATTTTTTAATTATTTTGTTACTAAATTGCATTTGCTAAATTAGAAATTGAATGGTTTAATTGCTTGCAAATTTGCTATTATTTATTTCAATCAGTCAGTCAGATAGTCAGTATGCTCAATCAGTCAGTGATTAACGAATTATTTTTGCATTACTCTGTGTAAGGAGAGAAATAAGTTTTTGCATTTATTAATAAAACTACAAACATACAAATGATATTTCATTTACCTTGCTTGCTAATTTAACTTCCAATGTGGTGCTTAATCCTAAATTATAATTAATAAAATAATGATCAGATTTCGCTTTCAAGAATGGTTATCTTTATTTTTATTATACATCCTCTTTGTCCCTTCATTACTTCCTTTCCTTTGTGTACTACTCATTTTATTAATTTCTTCTATTAAAAATTTCAATTGTTTCTTTTATCCTTCTATTTTCCTATAAAAGCTTAAAAACTTTAATTTTAAGAATTATTTTTTAATGATAGCTCATATCTATTTATTTATTTATTTATCTATCTATCAATCTAACATTAAAAAACACAAAGAGTTAAAATCATCAAAAATTCAAATAATAATAAATTTTCACCGACACTTATTAGTATATTTAATACTATCAAAAATGTATATCTTAATCAATCTTATTTATTCATTCTAAATAAAATCCTTTTATAATTTCTATCTCATTTAACATTTATCCATCCTTTAACAATTTTAAAATTAATAAATCCATTTTTTCTTATTTTCCATGTTTTTTGAATTTTAAATTAGAAAAACGAAGCATTTTATTCTCCAATAATACAAAGATAATTCAAATATTTTAGAAATATTATTGAAGTTAATATTAAAATGTTTGTAAGAATATAAAATTGTACTCTTAAAAACAGTTTCTAAATCTTAAGAAAAATTCATTGCCAACTCAGATGATTTAAAATTTTTACCTATTATAATTTTCATCAAAAAATAATTTAATTTCTTGAATTCGAATAGCCAACTTTTTAAAAATTATAAATTTAATTTTTAGTTTGAACTAAGAGGAGGGAGGGGATTGAGTGAATTGCCACTTAATTTATTATACTTAATATCATTTTTCTAAAAAGTTAAAGGTAAAGTTATAATTTATTGCTTTATTTACATCTCTCATTAATTTTTATTAAAATTTTGTTTTCACTTTTAATTTGTTGTATTCCTAGTAATGTTTTTTTATTTCTTTCTAAAAATATGTTTGAGACAGACTTCATATTTTGAAAAATCTTGAACAAAAAAGTCTTCCGTTTGTGATAAAAAGCTTAAACAAATAAAAGTAAGTAAAATTTATATTAAATTTGTTTATTTTTTTAAAAATAGTGTAAAAAGTAAATTTAAATTAAATTAATTTATTTAGGTTTTCTAAAATTAAAAATAAAATAATTATCTTGTTATTCTTAAATCTAAAATTTATTTGTTTGAAAAATTGAATTATTTAAAAGTTTTTGTAAATAATTTTTAAATTCAATTAATGTTATTAATTATAAATAAAACATTTTTTAAAATAAAAGTCTAAAATTAATTAATAATGATTTTCAAATTTAATATTAATTTATTTTATAAATATTTTCAAAATTATAAAAGTTGTTTGTTTGTTTGTTTGTTTGTTTGTTTGTTTGTCTGTTTGTAGGTTTGTTATTTTTTTAAATTAATTAAAATTCTTATTGGATAGATTGTAAACTACTTTTTTTGATTTGGCAGAAGAATTATTATTTATAACACTGTCTATATTGAATGCACAAAAAGAGCTACTAGATACTTTAATATTTATTTTGATTTTTAGATAATAAAACCCAAATTAGGCACATATTAGAAAGATAATTAATTAATTAATAAATTATTTATTTTTAAAGAAAAGTTATTTTAGTAACAAATAAGATAGATAGTATGAAAAAGAGTTACGGAGGAAAGCGTAGAGATGACAATCCAGATGTTGGATTATCAAAGAAGCTTGCATGGCTTTTGAGACATGGCGCAGAAAAGGAAGGTCTCAATATGGGTTCTGATGGCTATGTTTTACTTTAAGAGATCATGTCCAGAAATGATTTCAGTACCATAACATTCGATAAAGTTAAAAGCGTGGTAGATAACAACGATAAGAAAAGATTTGAAATGATTTAAAAAGAACATAACGGAAAGATTGAGTGGTTTATTAGAGCTAGTTAGGGACATACCATATCTTCTATTAACGATGAAGAGTTATTGGACAAAATATCTTTAGATGTTGCATCTTCTCTTGGAATCGTTGTCCATGGAACATATAAATAATTCTGGGAACCTATATCTAAGGAAGGTTTAAAGACAATGCAAAGAAACCATATTCATTTTGCTATTGGATATCCTGGCGATAAGGAAGTTATTTCTGGAATGAGAAAAACTTGTGATGTATACATTGAAATAGATTTAGTTAAGGCTATTAACGATGGAATTGATTTCTTTATGTCAAAAAATAATGTAGTTCTAACTTCTGGTATCAATAAAGTTTTACCTCCCAAGTACTTCAAGGTAGTTAAAGATAGAAATGGAAAGATCTTATTTGCATAGCCTGAAAAATTAGTAGAATAAAAAGATGATAATAAAGAAGAAATAGAGGAACAAAAATAAAGCAACTGAGATTAGTTCAATAAACAAACGAACTTATATATATATTAATATTATTTATAAGCTAAATAAAGCTAAATATATTATCAAAAAATAATTAATAAATAAATAAATTATTTGTTTTTATAATAAAATATTATGCTTATATATTCTTATCATTTTAAAATATTAATTAATTACTTAAAAAACATTTTTTTATTCATTTATATTATCTTTTTGATTTTACATTTTAAACTTTTACCTTCAAAATTACTTACTTATTTTCTTAAAATTAAGTGTTTTTTTATTTATCATTTAATAAATTATATATATTTATCTATCAATTTTTAATTAGATTATTATTACAATATTTAATTATATTTTTTTATAAAAAATTAAAATTTATGAAATGTTTTTTATAATATTTTATACAAAATCTATTGCTGGCCTCTTTTCTAATATGTAATTTTTTATCGTATTAATTATTATTATTAATATTAGATATAAAAAAAAGTTACTTCAAAATCTAATAAAATGAAAAAGGTATTTTTCTACAAAAAATTTAGTTTGTTCTCAGAGATTGATCTTTATAATCCAGAAGAAAAATTTAGAATCGAAAATGATAATTTATTATAACACAGATAGAATAAGAGTAAATACTTAATATTTAATTTGAAGAAGAAATAACTGTATATTAAGACAAATTAATTATTGAAAAAAGAATTCAAACACACTATTTATTTGATTAATTAAAAGCAAAAAATGATAGGACTTCTCTGTTTACTAATATAGATTACAAATATTGCTGTTGTTAAATCACAGTGCTATTAAGGATGCAAAAATTGCATTTTAGACCAAAATACGTTTAGTTATACTTGTTAAGGTTGCAATTAACACTTTCAATATGATTATTCTTAGAATAATTGCGTTTATTAGGATTGCTAGCAGTAAATGTTATTATAAATTGATGATAACTAATAAAGCTAATGCGTAAGTATTTGTGAAGATAACTCAACAAGCCAAAATGCTTTGAATTAATGCATTTAAACTAGAATTTGTAGCTAAAACTATAATACTTAGGCATCTTTTAGTAATAATTAAAAGGTATTAGATATTTTGTAATATTAATAATCATACAATATAATAAAATATAATGGCTTCTTAAACATAATAAATTCAGAAAATGGTTAATTTACTCTGAGCGTGTAGCTTGAAACTACCACTGTATTATGTGATTTTGTTTTTGGGAAGCTAATTCTAGTAAAATAAAATAATTAACTCTATGAATTTATTTTAGAAAATTAATAACAAATATAAATAAGTTAAATACCACAAGGTATAATCAATTCCTAGAGTATTATTAAAGGTATTTCATAAGATCTTTTAATTATTACATCTACAGAATAGAATAGTCAAAACTTATTTATTAATACATTTAGATTCTCAAACAACATAGTTAGTTTTGTCAACTATATTTAAATACCAATTTCAAATTAGAAAGTGTACTTTTTTGATGGAAAAGTCATATAGGTTAATTCAAATACAATAAAAATAAATGAATTATAGGATAACTAAGATGCAATAACATTGAAAGTTTTATCAGAAAATATTATTTGCTCATGGAGCGCAAACTTCATAATATTAAATATCCTTACTTCTGCAGACTAATTATCATTTTACATATTTATATAAAATAGTCAATCTATTTATAAGTATTCACAAAACAAGCTTAGTTGCAACCAAATAAATTTGATAGGAAATATAAATAATGCAATTTTAATTAATTCTTCTGTTGGCTAATTGCTAATATATTAATTCGATTTTGTGTTATAAATTTAATAAATAGATTAACAAATAACATCATAAATTTAGATGCAATAGAATATTGTCAATATTTAGTATTATTTGTAAAATTAATACATATATATATTAATTTTAACGATTGATAATAAGTTAAGTCTCTACCAATTAGGACTGGTAGCTGATGCTTAGTTTACTTTATTGTCTTAAATAAAACTAAAAATAAATAATCCTAGTATCCTTAAGTTATTTATTAATGATAGTAATTAGAAAAACTTATTTGTAGCTGGTAATGACTTTGAATTAATAAACATAAACTAGTAAAATAACATGTAAAAAATATCAGTTACTTCTGCTTTTTCTTAGTAAATGCAATCTAACTAATAGTAAATAAATAAAGTTTATTTTGATACTGTAACTTAATTGCTTTATAGCTGTTCTACCGAAGGATAAATTATCATCTGGAATAGTATTAGCTCTTATGACCTTAAATATTACAAAAGTTTTTTTTTCTATTAAGATAGTTGTGTAGATTTTGTTGTCTTTCAAAATTATTACATAGCTGTACTTCTTTCTAATTCAGTATAGATTTTTGATTTACAATAACAGCAACAATAAATTTTTAGCAATCAAAACTAATAAATTGTTTCTTACACTCTGCAATCCAGTCAAAAATATATGATTGTTGCTTTTGGAAGTTGCATAAATATCTTAGATGATAAAATTTAAATAGTTCTTTCATATTGCTCGAATTAGTATTAAACTGCAATAAAACACGTTTTAATTAATGATAGCTAACTTATTACTATAAGTCAAAATCAAATTTATTTATCAAATATAAATTTTGATTTAAAATAAATAGTTTAAATTAAAATATAAAATACTTCATTTTAGATGATAAGTTATATCAAAAATGAGTCTAAAATAAATTGTTTAATAATTTTTGATTAAAAATAAAATTTATTCATTGTTCTAGACTACTCGCTTAATGTAATAGATCAGCATACTTTACCATAAGTAATATAGATAATTGATGTGAACACGATGATAGATGATAATTTCTAAAATAAATACAGATATTTCTTTACACATTTTTGTAACATTCCATAACTAACTTATAAGTATTGTGTTTCTACTGTGCTTTAAGGATAAACTTAGATGACTGTAATAAAGAACGTGTTTTAGCTTAGTACAATTATTACAACTTATAAATATATAACTCTTAATAATTAACTGATTTACAAAGTTTTATTCAATGCTTCAGCAAGTACCACTTACATATAAATATTGTTAAAGTGGAATTATAATACAAATTTTGTGAATTTAGATACTTTGTTTTATTTAAGAACTGATAGTTCAACAATTCATTACATAAACCTTCAAAATTAGTAAATTTATTAAGGTTTCTAAAGTGGTTTCTTAGGTTTAAACATTGGTATGGCTAAATAAGGAACATTTTTCTATTAAAATCCTTAAGGTTCATCAGACATTTAATCTATACAGTAAGTATATGATATTGGAAAGATATTTATAATAAAAAAAACGCTATTGGTTTTCGATATCGCTCAATAGCTCTTTATTAAAGAAATCAAAATAGACGATGAAGGTGATTTATCAACAGATTATATACAAAAATTTTAATACAATAAAAAACTGAGATTAGTTACTTGTTTTAAGAGCTAAATATTTTTTATTTTGGCATACAATTAAAATATTGAAACAGCTTTTAATCTGAAGAATTTTTCTCTGATAGCTGACTATTATTTATAAGAAAATTAGTAAGTGATATACATATATGGTGCAAATTTAGCAAAATATGATATTTAATCATAATAAATTTAAGTTATTTATACACCTGATAGCTACATAATAAGAGCATGTGCCTTTTCATTATAAATGATCATTTGCTAAACAAACCCTTAGCAAATTTTAATATTTAATAATACTGATTATTCTGTTATTAAAAAAATTGCTTCATAAGACTTTCAAGATTAATTTGTTTTAAATGTAGATTAAGTCTACAATAACATTTTCATTTACAAGACTAATTTATTCTCTTATTCTATACTTAAAAAAGATTTAATTTAAGTTTTAACATAAAGCTAGCTTATTTCTTAGTTCAAAATTTGTGGCTCTAAAATAGTAATATTCACAAGCAACAGTAAATTTTTATTTTACCTTTAATATTTTTAATATCATTGATTATTTTTAAAATTTATCATTTATTTACAAAATTTTGTTAGATTTAGTTTAATTAATGTAGAATTTTATTAATATTTTTAATAAATAAAAAATTAGATGCCTTTATATTCACTAGAGATAGTCTTTTATTATTAGCATAATTTTAGTTACAAGGAAATTTTATAAATAGTATATATTTAGATGATTATAATAACATAATTTATCATACAGATGATATATCAAAGGGATAGATATATTAAATTAGCTTAGATAGTCTTACTTAATTACCTTCTATTTCATAATACTATTCTCAAACAACTCCTAGGAGTATTTTTTATGATAGGGATAATTCTTTTTTGTTCTGTACTGATAACTAAGGTTTTTTACAACTTTTCTAATATTAAAGGAAAACGTTAGACACTATATTAAATATAGATGAATTTAATGGGAATTCCTAATTTAATGGATAGATTGATTACTAAATTGGAAATTTTATAATTTACAATCAGTAATATGCCTACATTTTAAATTACAATAATTTGATAGGCACTTTTATTAGAGCTTATCAAACTATCAGATATAAATATATTATTTTAAAAAATATATTTATTGTTGCAAGCTCTAATAATGTTTTATACAGTTACAATAATTAGAGTTATGATTACTTAACAGAGTTTGATGATAAATTACTAGGGTTATATCAATATTAAAATAATAATGTCGTAATTTTATTTTTTAACAATTATTTTCTTGTCTATCAAAATTTAGTTGGAATGATTAGCAATTCCAATTTTTCTAATAAATTTAGCAATTTAACTATCAAAGAATTTCTAGATGATGATATTTTTATAACAGTTAGCTCATAATTTATTCATTATTCTTATCAGCAAAATAGAATATTGTTTTAATTTTAATTCTAAGAAATAGAAATCTTAAAACAATACTATAAAAACTAGAATTTGTAGATTCTTTTGCTTGGTTTCTCAACTGGAAAAGTTTCCGCTTATAATAAAATAACTCACTAATTTTATACTATTACATAATAAATAAGCCAAAATATAATAAGTTTCATATACTATTAAAATTAGATTTGGATTACATTTTAATATGGAAAGTTGATTACTTTTACAGATAACTAAATATTATTAAATAATTAAACTCCTATTAAAAACATCGATTTATTGGGATTAACAAATGCTCTACAAAATTTGAAAGCTAGCTAGTTAGAGTTAAAATAGATATTTATAGATGAATTATATAACTAAATTTACATACACTTTAACTAGTTCAAGTAAATTTATACTATTTAAATGAAAGACTTTTCAGTTGAATGTAAAATGATGTTTGCTCATAATAGATACAATACTTTATTAGTAAGTGACTCATATATTATATTACAAACATCATGCTAATTAAATTTTCATTTAAGAAGTACTTAATAGTTTCTCTTTTTTATAAAGGACGATTTTAGAAGATAATAATAATATTAAACTATTATCATAAATGATCAAATAGTTGTAATTGTATTTCTTTAAAAAATTAACATTTATTAAATTAATAAAAATGTCCCTTATTACAATACAAATAATTATGATTTTTTTAAACTTATTGATTCATAAGTGCTTTCTTATCCACAGATTATGCAATATAATTATGATATTATTACATCAAAGCTGTAGATTATTGGATTCACAACAAACAATATATTTGATTATATCTATGATGTTTCTTAAAATCAAAATTTATTATTAAATTAATGTATTTCAGTCATTTCAGTCTAAAATCCTTTCTAATTGCAAAAATAATTATTGTTTTAGTAAGCTTCTTCTAGTTTATCTTAAACATATTATATTTATATTAAAGATAGCACAAATATTTTGAATTTATTAAACTAATAAAAAAATCAAATAATTCTACAACCATAAGACAACAAAGTAATATAACTGGATACTTAAAGTCTGAGTTACTTTTAATACCAAGCATCAATAAAATAATTTAACTTCTATTTCAAAGATTTAGGAGAGTATAGTTTTAGTGATAGTGTCTAATAAATAAATATTGAAAGCTCTTCTATCCTTTAATAATCTATTGCAGGTAAAATGTTAACTGTTAAAAACAAGAAAGTTGTAAAAATAAATAAATTAATAATTGATTCGATATTTGATAAACAAGTATAAAAATAGTAAGCAAATACTGATTAATAGACTAGTACTTTTATATACTTTTTGAATTGTAGCCAATTATTTATTTATAACTTAGAAATCAGAAATTTAAATATCTAAAATTTGGCAACAGTGTTACTATTTGAAGAAATTGATAGTATTTAGATTGATAATTTAATCATTGAATAGAATGTAATATAGTAATATTTAATACAATTTGTTGAAGTCAAAAATCTTAAAATATTTAATATTTAAGTAAGAAATAACTTACAAAAATAATTCTTAGGCTAATCAATTTTCTTGCTAAGTGGCTGCGAAATGACTTTAATTTAAGATGCTTAATACTATTAAAATTAAAATATTTAACTATTAAGAGCTTTCAATTATTTTGAAGATTAAACTACATAAATAAATTTAACAGATGATGTTCTCAATTTGAGTAATTTTTAATTAACGAAGAACTTTTACAAATTATTAGATCAGTAATAGATTAATTAAAAAAATGCATAGAATATTGCTATGATCTAAATTGAAAGTAGTTATGCTAATATTAATAACTTTACTTCAACGCTTAATAACATGAATATAGTTTTTTAATCATCATAATAAATAGCTATAAAGGATAGTACATTTTAAAATAACACAGCTTTAGAAGGAGGAGCTCTTTATTTCTAAAATATTCAATAAAATATAGAGCTAAAGAATTGCATTTTTATAAATAATATCGCTTATGCAAATGGAGGAGCAATTGTCTTTGATACAATAAAAAATATATTTTTAGACTAAACTACAAATATAAAGTAAAATACTGCATTGATTGGAGGAGGAATAAGAATAAAAGGAGTTGAATAATTTGTATTTTTAAATAAAGGATAAATTGTCCAAAATAAAGCTGAAATATACGGAGACAATATTGCCACCTATCCAAGTTAGGTTTCAATTTAATCGTTTTCTTAATAAAAAGACTCATTTACATTTAAAAGTAATATTCCTCTTGGAAAGGTTTGGATTAATAACTTCTAAAGTGGAGGCTCTTTAGAATTTGATATATTTTTTATGGATGAAAATGGAAAACATATAAATTTTTCTTCAAATTCTTTAAAATAAGGAGTTTATCCTAAAATAATTTAAAATGAAATTTAGTACTGGAATGCTCATTTAATAGTATTTAATTCAAGCTTAGTCTAGCTTGTTGGAGAATCAAGTGTAAATTACAATTCATTCAATGAAACTACTAAATCTTTTCCTTTTAAAACTTTATAAATCAACTCAATACCTCAATCTACTTAATTCTTAATTTTACAATATTAATTGGTTGATTATATTTCACCAACATAAATTTCTGTAGAAATTAATTTCAGAAATTGTAAAGCAGGAGAAATAGAGCATTCTTTAAATGGTTTAATAAGATCATGCTTATCATGTGATGTAGGTCACTATTCTATGTAAAATTATTCATAATATAAATAGAGTGAAATATTATGCAAACAATGTCCTTAAGAGGCAGAAATATGTGAATTCGATCATTTTATATTGAAATAAGGTTATTGGAGATCATCTAATTTGTCAGATTAAATTTTTGAATGCACAAAATATTAAGAATCTTGTAATGAATTAAAATCTGATACCTAATTCGGCTGCATCGAAGGATATGTTGGCCCTTTGTGTGAGTAATGTGATTATTCAGGTATGATATGGCCTAATAGATATAGTGAAAACAGTTCTAAAAGCAATTGCTAAAAGTGTAGCGCGACATCAAACTAAATAGCTTTTTTAATCATATCTACTTCCATCATTATCGTCTATCTTTTCTTCTAAGTATAATCAATCGTGTTAAACTTAAATTTATACTTAAAATGCAAGTAAATTAAATCATTTTCCTTTTTAAATAAAATTTGATTTTCTTTCAAAATATTTTTTGAAATATTATTTAATGAAATTTATCAAAAATAGTTATGTCAGACTGATGAACTTGGTTCCTATTTCAGTGAGTTAGTACAAGTTTATAAATACTTTTTATGTTAAGTGTTTGATGAATTACCTTCAAATTCAGTTAATTTTGATAGGATAAATTGATTAGTTTCCATCGTTCATATCAGTTTTACCAAATACAATTGGAAAACCCTCTTCATATGCTGCTATTGGCTCACTTTGTTTAGTGCCTTCTGAAACAATTAATAAGAATGGATAAGGTAGAACTAAATTAGTGATTTCATAGTTTTATAATTTAATAATTGTTTTGATTATGATTGTTCTAATTTTGCTAGCAGAGCATTTTTAAATGAACTAAGTGAAATTAAAGAAAAATTATTACAGATATAACGCTCTCTACTTTTTATATACGTTCATGTAGCCCGATTCTTTAAGTTTAATAGCGAAATTTCTCACGTGTAGGAATATAGGAGATTAGAGGTACTTTACAGAGGATCTTCAGATATAATGCAACTAATAAGAATATTTATCATTTTAATATTACATAGGAATTCCACTTTTAATCTTCTGGATTAGCCTACCTGCATTCTTTTTCTTCAAATTATTTAAAAAGTCATCGAATTTAAAAAATCCATCAGTGATTTTTTGTTATGGATATTTTTTTATTGAATACAAATAAAATAAGTACTATTGGGAATTTATGAGAATATACACAAAAGTATTTATAGTCTTATTTTATACTCTATATAATAGCAACAACCAATAGTTATCGTACTTAATAGTAATAATTATTATGGTTTTTTACTTGCTATATCTGAACAAGTCAAATCCATTCCTAAATAATAAAATGATGAAAATGGAAAGACTGTGCTTTTTTAATTTGATTTTGTTAATCATTCTAGAAAATATAAAAAGCATAGTTCAATTTAAGCTTCTAATTAACATAATCATGTTAATGATATATCTATATTTCATCTTCAAAGTTATTTGTATCATATTATATCATAAATTATTTTCGAAGACAAATGCTTTTGGAAGAGCTTTTCTTTTTATTTTATCTAAGATACTTAGCAAGAAAAGTCTAAATAAAATATAAAGGCATTTTGAAGTTTCTTTAAAAGTATTTTATCACTGGAAAAAAATAAAAAATAATTTGTCCCTTTTGATAAGTCAACCTGCTTTAGAAAAAATAAACCAAAATATTAGTAAAATTTATCATTAATTAAATATCATTTTTATTAATATTTTAAAATTAAAGATTAAAAAAATAGCACTTTGCGTATTCAATTTATCAATAACACATAATTACAGACGAACCACAAATTAATTACTTCTCCTATTTTAAATTTTTCTGATCAAAATAAATTGGAAGATATACAGAACTCTCCTTTTATGTTTTTAACTTCACCATTAAATAGTTATATTTCACCAACAAATGCATTGCTATTAACCTAAAAATCAAACATAATATTAAAAAAAAATTTATAATCGTAAAAAACTTTAGATAATCAAAATAATTTTTTCGATTAAGTAAATGTTAACTAAGACGAATGGGCTTCAATTAATTCTGAATAAAATTTCTAAGTTTAAAATTAAGGACTCCAATTTTAGGATTAGATAGCAATCAAAACTCTCAATAATTTGAATAAAAAAAGTGTTACTACAACTATTACAGAAAACTAATGAATTTTATCTTACTAAAAATATTTAATCTAGTATATTAAATTATTTTTTAAATATCTAAATTATCTTATAATTAAAAATCAAGAATTGTATTTAAATATATTTATATTTTATATAGATAATTAGATATCATTTTTTAGATATATCATAGATAATTAATTCTTTTGAAAATAAATTTATCAAAATATCAGCATTGAAGTTTTGGTGATTTTATAATATTGCAAAATCAAAATTTGAATTAAAAATTATTATTTAATATGAAAAATTTTTCGTTTATTGTTTTATTTCATTCGTTTTGAAGATTTTTACAATTTATATTTGAAAACAAAATATAAGGCAATATTAAATATACTTCTAGAAGCCAAAGAAAGCTTTATGCTAATTAGAGTGAATAAATACGAAAAGCGTTGGAATGTATTTATTTATTTATGATTTAAAAATGAATGAGAAAAAAACCAATTAAAAAGATAGAGTAGAGTTTATTTCATAAATTAATGGATAATTTATAAATTAATTGAATAAATTATTTGAATTGAATTTTAAAAGAAAATAAACTGATTTATTGTATCAATACTAAGATAAGTAAAGATAGATTGATATGATAGAATATATGTTTCTTCCTATTTTTAGATATATAAACAGAAATAATGATTGATATTGGACATTCATAATTTTATTGATTGATCAAATTGAATAGAGTTTTATTTATTTTCATTTTATTCAAATATTAGATGGGTTTAAGGAGTAAATTATTATTATTTTGATGATTATTGCAATTTAAATTTCAAATTAAAATCTAAGGCAATATTAAATATACTTCTAGTAGTCAAAAAAAGCCATAGGTTAATTAGATAGAGTGAATAAATGCGAATTTTAATAAAGCGTAGCAATGTATTTATGATTTGATAAACAAGTTAGTAAAAAAACCAATTAAAAAGATAGAGTAGTGTTTATTTTATAAATAAATGGATAATTTATTAATTGAGTGAATTATTTGAATTGAATTTTAAAAGAAAATAAACTGATTTATTGTTTGAATACTAAGATAGGTAAATAAAATAGACAGATTGGTAGAATATATATTTGATTTTTCCTATTTTTAGATATATAAACAGATATAATGATTGAGTTATTGATATTGGACATTCATAAATTTATTGATTGATCAATTTGAATAGAGTATTATTTATTTATTTATTTTCATTTTATTCAAATATTCGATGGATTTAAGGAGTAAATTATTATTATTTATTTATTTTTTAATATATAAATGGAGAGAGAGGGAGGGAAAGGATCATTAAAGTATATTTTTTTGTTTTTAATCACGAGAAAAGAGAAAAAGGGTTTTCATTAGCCTTGAGTGGTGGTATTTTGGGGTTAGATGAAAGCAGGAATTTAGCCTTTTAAAGCTTAATCAACTGCAGAGCTGTTTTTTTTGTCTTCGCGGTTGAATTTAAGCATGACTTATTTTCTGGTTTTTGTCTTAATTTCTTTAGAGATGAAGTCGAAGTTGGTTCCATGTTAAGCTAACAATTACCAGAAAGCGATTTCCTCACTGTAAGACCAGCGCTTTTACTTAGTGTTTTCTGTTTATCTGGTTCCCAAAACCATCTTTTTTACTGCCTACTTTTTTACTTAGTAGTAGTAAGATCTCTTCTCTTTAAGGATTTCACTAGCAATATACTGTAAATTATCTTCCTCTCCGTCTACTGTGCTAACGTCGTCGCACATGCTACAGTTACTGAAAGTAGTAGCCTCTTAAGTGTCTTATAAAAATTTGTTTTCCTCCTCTAATTAATTTGTATAACTTTGTTTTTTCCAGTCGAATGATGCAATTCTTTAGCTGTCCATCTTGACGAACATCATTTAAGGTTAATTTTAAGATTAATCCTCTTCATTCATTATTAATTGTGTTTAATTCATTGGGTTTGTTACTATTAAGTGTTAGTTTTGTTGTTGGTGAATTGATTGTAACATGTTTGTGTCTGGGTGAAGAAAAGGGTACTCATTTTATCTAAATTTATTTGTTTTTTTTGATTAATTATTATTTAAAATTCTTTCAAATCTCCCTTTATAAATACAAAATTTATAGCATCTACTGATTTTTTCTGATATAATCAATAATTTATTCTTTCCACTTTTTGTTTATTTGTTCGCTCATTTCTATGTGTAATTTCCTCAGCCATCATTCATTCATATTGTTTGTCTATTGATTTAATAATATCTTCTTTGGGTTTTAAACAGTTATTTATTTCTTTTTTAGTGAGTTTTCTGCATATTTAATTTGAAATGTTTCTAAAATTTTAAACTCTTTTGACTTGTAAGAAAAACTCTTTAGAAATTTAGGATTTATCAAAAATAATCTGACAATTAAATAGAATTTATTGGTATGAAACAGACAATCAACTTGCTTTATTTAATTCAGGAAACAATGTTAATAATTTTTAGTAAATAAGTTTCAATGAAATTTTCACTAACATTCGAATGTAAAAAATCTATTATCTGTAGTTATCCGTTCAAAATCACACAATGAAAGTGTCTATTTGATTTGAAGGACAGATAAATAAATAGATTGATTGATAGATAAATAGATGCTATAAAATAGACAATATTAATTAATTAAATCAAACAATAATTTTGATAAAAAATTTTGTACTTTCGTTATGATTGATTAAAGTGACTACTAACCTATAACAGAATGAGATAAATACTCTAAACTGATAAGCTTATGTTTTGCTATCCAAAATAAATCCAAATCTCATTTTTCTATACCTTGGATTACCTTCAGATAAATAATCTTTCTACTACTTAAAATTAGCTTTTCTAATACTTTTAAATTAAATTAATATAAAATTATACTTTTATCTACCTCTTTTGAAAAATATATAGAATGCTAATTCTTTTAAAAATAAGATAAATAATCAAAAATTTTTTCAAAATTTTATTAATAAATTATATTAAAGAAAGAAAGAAAACTATTTTTAATGAAATATTATTAAAATAAACTAAAATTCTTATTAAATAAATTTTAGCTTTAAAATTTTTTTAAAACTTAGATGAGCACTTTTAAACAAATCATTTGTAATTACACTTATTAATAATTCATCCTTTTATATTTTATAATTATTAATTAAATAAATAAATTTTAGTTATTTGATTACTATTTAAATCTTATTTATAAATTAATTCTCATAATAATACTAAAATAAATAAATAATTGAAATATCTTTTTAGAATCCGAATCACAAGCGTCTTTCATGTTTTTTTATTTATTTATTTAAAATATTAATTTTTATGCAAGATAATTATGTTAGAAATATTTTCTACTTAATATGATATAAAAAAATAATGGATTTTTGAAAATCTTTATTGATATTGCTATGCTTTTTTATGATTTTACAGCAAGATAAATTTTATATATTCAATATTTGACAGATAAATAGTTTACTAACATTTTTCATGAATTATTTACAATAAGAAATAAATAAATATTTTTAAATTTACAATATTAACTTTTTTTATTGCATAAAAAAGATTTAGAGATTTTTTATTATCTTTATTGAAATGTTAATCCATTCTATGATTTCCAAAAAAGATAGAGTTTTTTATTTAATCTTTGATAAAATAATACAAGAATGTCAAATAAAAAGAGATGTTTAATTTAATTAGATAATTTGAAATTTATTTGGATTATGAAGAATATAAATAGAAATTTTAGCAATTTTTCATTTAATTATTAGATAATTTTTGTCTTCTACATAAATTTTAGTTAGTATTTTTTAATTAAATAAGTTAATTTATTATCAAAATAAGTATTTTGATCCAAGTCTTTTTTTAAATTAGAATGGAAATTATTTTATATAAATCTTTTTAATTATTTTATTCAGTTATTTTAAAAAATATTTTAGTTTCCTAGGCCATTTTTGTCAAAGATTGGCTTTCTTCTTTGTCCGTTGATAAGACAAGCACGGATTTTCCTTTTGGAGTGTATAGTTCTTCTTGGTTGCTGCTACTATTTGATTTTTTTAATGACATTATTAAAATTAAATGTAGGATAGTAATACTAAAAATTTTTAATTTTATCGAATAGCTGCATTTCTAAAAACTCCCATTCGAACTATTGGATGAAATCTAAGATTTTAGATTATTTTTATTCATAAATTTCAGGAGAATATTTGAGCTATTTTTACTGAATTCGCTCGAAATATTGGTTTTCAAATACTTAAGAACGTATAACAAATTACTCTAAATTCTTTTAATTAGGGTAAAAGCTTTAAAAATTAGTTTCTTAGGTAATTGTGCTCTTTCTTCTTTCAGGACGCTTGTATTTTTGCTAATCGATAGTTGGATATTTACTGATTTGCTACTCAAATAGCTACTTTCTAAAATGATCTTAATTGTTAGATTTATCTGTGCTTTCTAAAATCTAATTTGATTGTCTACTGTAGTCTTCTAAGATATTAAATTGCGATTAAATTTATATATATTAGTCTGGTAGAGGTATTTTCTTTTAAGAACTGCTGCTTGTATTTTAATACTAACTAAAGCTGCATTTTTGCTATTTTTAAACCATATTTTAGCATTTTATTTACTGAAAATATCTTTGAGCTTTTATTTTAAAATTATTAGTATCAGTGTCTGAAGTCTCTTAGATATCAGAATCTTCAATTGTATTTGTCTTGAAGTTTTTGATGCTAGCAAAATTTGAATTTTAAACGTAAATAGGCTAAATTAATTCACTGCTTGGTATCAAATCTTCTGAGGCGATTGAGTTTTTTTTAGGTAATTCGTCTTTTTTAAAAGTTATTCTTTTTATTGCTTGCCTGTTGCTTTAGCATCCAGTTAAATTTTTGGAATATTATTTCATATTAGATTGTTATTTCTATGTAATTATTTAAGGTTTGGAGTCATTTAATTAGTTCACATCGATAAGAACTACATCATCTGTATTCAACACTTTATTGTTTTATCCAATTATTTTTTACAATTCACTATGATCGCAATCAACTTATTATTATTATTATTTTTATTATATTTCTTATTGATGCTGTGGTTTTTGTATATCTTGCGAACTCTTAAATAAAATAGTAGGATTTTCATCAGCAGCAGCAGTAAATGATTCTAAATTATCTGATGAAATAGGAGACTTCTGTTTTAACTAAGAGTTGTGGTTTGATGGCTTTTCTTTTTCAGATTAATTAAAGATGCTTCCCCCTTAAGATCCTGTATATTAGTCATTATGACTAGATTCATCATGCTATTATTTTTAGTTCTACTCAAAATACATCGTTTAAATCTATGGCGCGGCTAGTAGATCAGACGTGTTAATAGAAATCTTTCTATCCTCTAAGAAAGTTTAAACTTTTTTATTACTTAAAAAGCTATATTTTTAATTTGTTTTTAACCTTTATAGCTGCTCCATAGTCTGTTCATCTATATAAGAACTTTCCAAGCTTTCGCTAAATATTTGGTCATTTAATATTTTATAGGCATCATTTAAGCAGTAATCGATATTATTAAGTGCACTGTATTTTTTATTCCTTCTTTAAATGGGATATCTTTGCTTTATAGCAACTGATCTGAAAGCCTTAGCAGCTATTAATCTTTTTGATACTGTAAAATGAATTTTATTGCATTCTTGTATGAGATGAGATTTGTCACCACAAGAAAAACATTTTGATTGAATTAGATTGTAGCTGCTTTTGAAGAGCAAAGCTTCTTTTATCATGCAAAATGTTTCATAATCATCATTGCTTTCTTTAACTATTTCAAGAAATTTTAATCTTTCCATTTTATAAACAACACAAAAATCAATAGCTCTTGCTGATGAACTTCTGCTCCCTCCAGTAATAAAAGCGATCTCTCCAAAATAGCTTGATTTTTGTAATTTTTTGACTAAAATCTATCCTTCCTACTTTTTTTGCGAAGTTTCTTGAATAATTTCTACTTCTCCTTTGACTAAAAAGAACAAAGAACAATCGTTAACTTCGTCTTAGTGAAAAATGTATTCACCAGGAGAAAAAAGCATTTCCTTCATAATGGAAATAAGTTTATTTTAAGTCTTTAGCTAAGAAATAAATGGAATGTCTTTCAAATACTTCCCTCTTACATTTTTCATCAAATCATTTTTCAATTAATCTGAAAGTTAATTTATAATTATTTATTCTTAGTTTTTCTTTACCTCGTTTGATTCCTATTATTAAAAGAAATTATTAAATTTTACAAGAAGTTCATTTTGCTTTTTTAATTTTAATATTCGAAAAAAAACTATTGAAGTAAAATAGAAAATTCCAACCAATTATCAAATAAATAAATGTTCTAAATTTAAACATTTTCATTGCACCATTTATAATATTTGTTAAATTGACTACAATAATAAGCTTTTTCTCCAAATGATTTAATTTCACTTTTGATAATAAATTAAAAAAAGATATTTTTAGATCTATTTTTTATTCACTAATGAATAGATTTACAATGTTCCTTAATAAATTCCTTCTATTTATAAACATACTAATAAACCTTTAGGTTGATGTTTTATCATTCTATAAAATTTCATTAAATCAAACAAACAAATTTTAATTCAAATATGACTTTTTATTGATTTATTTTTGTAAATTTAGAAATGAAATTCATTAATTAATAAAAAATTAAAGAAAAAAATGAATTTACCTTGTAATAATACTTCAAATAATTTGATACTTTAGCTCTCAAATCAGAATCAACATTTTCTTCACGCATAAAAGTGTGAATTATTTGCATGTTTTCTCTGTATGCCTTGTCTTCTTTTTCAGAGTTTTGTATTATTTTACCTATTCTATTTAATGAATAAGCCCAAAAAAACCCTGTTACAAACATCGTTATGATTGTGAATGTCATTTCGGCAGGATTTTGAGGGGTAATATCGCCATAACCGACAGTGCTCATAGTTACTGATAGAAAATAAAATGAATATATGTATTTGATTAGTATGTTATCCTCCTCTACTAGTCCTTTAGCATGAAGCCAAGTGTTATTTTTGCCTAAATTCATTTCGTAAACAGCTATGCCATACCAAAAAAGACAAAATACATGGCAAACGCATCCAATTATAAAAACTAATCTCAGAAGATCTATCATGTATTTCATGTTTTTTTAATAGTTCAGCACATAAGTAACTCGTTATGAAATTTTTATAAACTCATATAATTTTATTAGAATCAGAAAATTAAAAATAGAAAAGTATTTATGATCTAAATGACTACTTAATACTTAAATATATAATGGTATTGCTCCTATTTAATCAAATATAAGCATTTATTTAAGGTAATGTTTTAGAATGACAATTCTATTGATAATTAATTTGCCTCTTACAATAACTCCAGTATTTAATTAAATCAAGATATTTAAATTAATAATTATTAAGCAAACCTGAAAGTAGGATTAAAATATGTCTTCTTTTATCTCGAAGAAGACAACTAAACTAAGAATAAATATTAAAGAAATAATAATGAAAGCAATAAAACAGTCCCATAAAAGTCGAGCACCTGAATAAGGAGAGAATATTGGTAATCTTGAAATGTAGGAAATAAGATAACTTTTAATTACTTATAGCATATCAACTATCTTAAGTAGTTATGGAAATCTCTAGAGTGATCTAATTTTGCTGAAATAAGAAGCTTAATCATTTATAAAATTGTGCTAAACTTCTGTCAATTTCTTAAAAATTCTAAACTTGCTAAAAATTTTGTTTTATAACTATTTTAAGAGTATAATTGCATTCATTGAAAGATGGTGTCTTTGACATTTATTAACATCTTTTTAACAATTAATAGAAAAAATGCTTGATTTGAGCTTTTTTAATTATTCTACTTTATCTTAATTTAGATCTTCTACATGACTGTTTACTTATGAGGATTATTTGCTCCAGCTACTCGTTTTGCTACTCGTTACAGTTGCTTACTTTTTACTTGTAGTATCTTAAATTTTATTTGAAGTAACATTTTAGCTGTGACTGTAGCTTTAAGCTTGGCTATTTTCATTTATTTGTTCCAAATCTACAGATTCACCTCTTCGCATAGGAATGTCGTAATACTCCTCTTAAGACTAGTATCTTTAGTCTGCTATTCTCACATGGTTAAATGCCTCCTAAAAAGAATCTAAGATGCTTTCATTTCTGTCAATAAAGTTAATTTTTGAAGAGTTAGGCTGCTAATATATATTTTTTGTTGTAGGACTTTCATTATTATATTTACGCTCACTCATCTCCTATTCTATCTGTAATTCTTGCTTTTTATTTAACCTTAATAACGAAATTTATTAAAATTACAACAAACTTCACACATAAATTAATTGCCTTGCAAAATTATTGTCTTTCTGAACTGTGTTTAATTTTTTTAATAAATCCACTCAACACTATTTTTTGCATAAAAAAAGTGTTATATGATAATACGCTATTAAATTGCATAAAAGGCAATATATTACACATAATCATAATAAAAATATATGCTCTCTCTCTCTCTCTCAAAGCAGATTTAAATTTATATCAAAATCACACTTAAAATATTAACAATCTACTCAACATATAAATTATTTTCATTAAGAGATATGTTTTTTTTATATATTCTAAATAAATAAGATTAAAATATTCTTCTTCTTTGATATAAATGAAATAATTTTAAGGATTATTTTATTTTTTCCAAGCTTAATGTTATGCCAAAATCAATCAAGAATGAAAACTTTTATAAAATATTAAAAATTAGACTAGAAATAAATATTTCAGTGCATATTTTTATACTTTTTGATTGTATTTTAAAATAATTGATTCAATTATTTTCTAATCATCTTTTAGATCAAACGGGTTCTTAAGGATTATTTACTTTAAGATCCATCTTAGATCAAAGCTTTTTTGATTGTTGAATGACATAATTATAATTATTTAATGGGTAGGAGTACTTAAGTATTATTGCTTTATCGTGTAGAATCAAAGACAAATAATCCCATTCTATTTAGTTGAGGTATTTTATTAATTTATTATTATCTTAGTTATTTTAATATCATTATTTTACACTCTTTTTACCTATTACTTATCATCTTATTTATAAATAATTTAATTTAGTAAACTCTTCATTTACTATTATGAGATGTTGTGATTATTTAATTATTTTATCTCACTGGAAATAATGCTAATTTCAAGTCACTTTCTAATTAAATATTATTTTCAGAACTAATCTTTAGCTTGCTTTAGTCTAATTATAGCTATTCATGAGTTATCCATAATTTTTTGAATTAATTATTTATCTTTATTTGTTTTTTCTTTCTTAGCTTTTCAGATAAGCTATCTGTAAATTTATCTATTTTGCGTTGCTTGGAGATTGTGTAATATTTCTTATAATAAAATAATTTTCGTTGGTGTAAATATCATCTACTTCTTCTTAACTGATGAAATATTTATCTAATTAATTGTTTTCTAAGCTTTTGCTTACCATTTAATCATTGAAAAACATTATTGGTGAAATTAGATATAAATCTAACTGAAGTATTTTAAATTTTTTATTTCTTTTATTGAAATTTTGATAACTCAAATGAGGAGCCAGCCAACTAAAAAGCCTTTAAATATAAGATATTCTTTAAGCCAGTAAAGCGTATTATAGGATAGTTGCTAATTAAATGAAACTAACAGCTACTAGAAAAGCATTTTGTTTTGGAAATATTTTAGTAGCTTTATAAAGTTAAAGCTTCCTTTATCATAGATAATGTCTTGAAATCTACTTAATTTTTTAAAAAAATCAAGAAATTTCTATCTTTCTAAATTATAAACCATCAGAAATATATTGCTCGATTAGAAGCACTTCTTATAGAGCCTGTCTGTGATGAAAGATATTTATCTAATAATAAATTCTTCTAGAAAATTATTATTGATTAATATATGTCAAACAATAATATCATAAAATTTAATAGAAATTCGTGTTTTCTTTTCTATATTTGTGATGTAAAAGAATAATGCAATAAAGTATAAAAGCTCTTATTGACTGCATGAAATTTTTTACCAAAATAACATGTTTTTGCAAAATAAAAATAAAGAATATTTTAAATATATATTAATATATGTTATATAAATATTTTCTCATTATTGGACTATATTAAAAAATAATAAATAAAAATTAATTTATTAAAATTTAATTTCTTTAATTCTAAATTTTTTTTCAACATATGACTGACTAATAATCTTTGATTCTATCTATTTACATTTTAAGTAAAAGTTTTAAATAAAAATATTAAGATTTATAAATAAATGTTACACTAACTTTTTGAATATCTTTCCTAAAAGCAAATTTATAAATTTTAGTTGATAATTATGACAATTTATTTGTTCTTTTAATCTAAATTAATTTGGTTAAAAGTAAATTACTTTATTAATATTAAAATTAATTAATTAAATTTTAATAAATTGCTATTCAATATTTTTGAAAAGAAAAAAAATAAATGATATAATAGAAAAATTATTTCAACATTCTAAAAAAAGTAAATATCTATCTTTTTATTAATATTATTTCATTTTTATTAATAAAAAAAGTTTTTAAACTCTTCACTTGAATTGCATTAGGTTCTCCATCTTGATCTAAGCAAGAGGTATATATACTAAATTTATTAATCTTTTTTTAATTTAATTGTTATTTACAATATTTTCTAATAGAAATTTTCATCTACATTCATTCATTCGTTTTTATTTTTTCAAATATTTTTTTTATTTTTTAATATTTGATATTTTTTATTCTTTATTTCATAATAATTAACTAATTACATTTTTTTTTTGTTTATTAATTTAACTTATTTTTTGATTTTCTATTTTTTATTTTATTATTAATTAATTATTTCATTCATTTCATAATATTTCTTTATTTTTTCCTTCTAAATAACTAACTAACTAACTAACTAACTAACTAATTAGCTATATATTTTTTCTTAAAAAGGTTTAATACTGATAAAATTTATGATAAAGAGGCATAAGATTTAGGTTCTTGTTTAGGAAAATGCACTAATCTCTCAGATTTGACAGTTGATCTTGAGTAAAAAACAGTTTATTTGTTTATATTTTTTAATTAAAAATTAGTTGGGCAAGGCAACTAAAAATAGGTATTCGATTAATCTTCATAAAAATTTTTTGATAATGATTATTCGTTTATGCAGCCTAATTGTTAATTATAAAAACTTCCCCCTCGTGCGTGAAAGGGTTAATTAATTAATTTCTTATTATTTCATATTTTTTCTTCATTTTTCATTCTAACCAACTAATTAGTTTTTTTTATTTTCAATATTTAAAAAGTGGAAATTCTATTGGTGCAATTGGTGCATAAGGCTTAGGTTCTGATTTAGGAAACTGTATTAATCTCTAAAATTTGACATTTCAACTTTAGTAAAAATAGTTTATTTATTTTTGATTGAAGATATTTTTTAAAATAAAAATAAATTTAAGACAGTTTTAGAATCTCTTTTAATTTTTTAATTTTTAATTTTATTTATATTTATTTATTTCCCTTTCCTTTTTTATTCATAATGTTTTTTCTTTCTTTTTTTATTAATTTACATTTTTAATTTTTGCTATTATTTTCAATTAATTAATTTCTTATTATTTTATATTTTTTTCTTCATTTTTTCCTCCTAACTAACTAATTAGCAATTTTTTTTTTTTTTTTTTCAATATTTAAAAAGTGGAAATAAAATTGATGCTTTAGGTGCATCAAGTTTGTGTTCTGATTTAGGAAAGTGTGCTAATCTCTCAAATTTGTCACTTTAACTTTAGTAAAAAGAGTTTTTTTTGTCTTAGATTGTGATATTTTTAAAATAAAAATGAATTTAAAATAATATAATTAATTAATTAACTAACTAACTGACTCTTTTAATTTTTTATTGCTTTTTATTTGAGTTATTTTTCTTTTTTAATTCTGCTTGTGTTAACTGATTCTTTGATTTTTAGCTTTTGTTTTTTATTATTAATTTATTAATTCATTTCTTATTAAATCATTTTTGTTTTCTTTACTAACTAATTAGCTAAATATGTATATATATAGAATAATTTTTTTTTTCAAAATTTAAAAAGTGGAAATTAAATTGGTGAAGGTGCATCAGGCTTAGGTTCTGATTTAGGAAAGTGTGCTAATCTCTCAAATTTGACACTTCAACTTTAGTAAAAATAGTTTATTTATTTTGAATTGTGATATTTTTAAAAATAAAAATGAATTTAAAATAAATAAATAACTTTTTTAATTTATTGATTAGCTTTTTATTTGATTTATTTTTCTTTTTTTTAATTATGTTTGTGTTTTTTATTTTTTTGTTAATTTAACTCATTTATTTTTTAATTTTTAAATTTTGCTTTTATTTTTATTAATTAATGAATTTCTTATTATTTCATATTTTTTCTTAATTTTTACCTTCTAATTAACTAAATATTTTCTTCAATATTAAAAAAGTGCAAATATAATTGGTGATTGAATTGAATTGAAATACTCGCACATAAAAATGCACTCAGAATACATCTTAAATATAAAATTTAATGATAGGTTAATTTAATTTATTTATATTATTAAAATTTTTAAATCACACAAACTACACTATCTGTCATACCTGTCATACATTCAAAACTCAGAAACTCAGAAACTCTGAAACTCAGAAACTCAGAAACTCAGAAACTCAGAAACTCTGAAACTCAGAAACTCAGAAACTCAAACTACACTATATCCTAAATTTTTACAAAATTAATTTTCATAAAATTTTCAGTATTTTTTAATAGGAAAATAAATTTAAAACAATATTTTTCACTCTATTAATTTATTTATTTATTCGCTTTTTATTTGAGCTATTTTGTTTTTTTTAATTCTGTATATGTTTTTATTCTTTTTAATTTGTTAATTTAACTGATTCTTTCATTTTCAACTTTATTTTATAATTAATGAATAAATTTTTTATTATTTCATATTTTTTCTTCGTTTTTTCCTTCAAAATAATAAGTTAACAATATATTTTAATTTAAAAAGTGGAAATTAAATTGGTGCAATTGGTGCATCTGGCTTAGGTTCTGGTTTAGGAAAGTGCACTAATCTCTCAAATTTGACACTTCAACTTTAGTAAAAACAGTTTATTAGTTTTGGATTGTGGTATTTTTTAATAGGAACATAAATTTAAAACAATATTATTAACTCTATTAATTAATTTATTTATTTATTTGCTTTTTATTTGAGCTATTTTTGTTTTTATTCTTTTTACTTTGTTAATTTAATTGATTCTTTCATTTTCAACTTTACTTTATAATTAATTAATCAATTTTTTGTTATTTCATATTTTTTCTTCGTTTTTTCCTTCAAAATGATAAGTTAACAATATATTTTAATTTAAAAAGTGGAAGTTAAATTGGTGCAATTGGTGCATCAGGCTTAGGCTCTGGTTTAGGAAAGTGCACTAATCTCTCAAATTTGACACTTCAACTTTAGTAAAAATAGTTTAGGATTGTGATATTAAATTTATCTTTTTATTTAATTTATTTTTTCTTTTTTTATAATTCTGTTTGAGTTTTTTTATTTATTTCTTACTTTTTTAATTTAACTGATTCCTTCATTTTCAATTTTTGCTTTTATTTTTAATTAATTCTTATTATTTTATATAACTAATTAACTATCATTTTTTTCTTCAATATTTAAAAAGTGGAAATTAAATTGGTGAAGGTGCATCAGTATTAGGCTCTGAATTAGGAAAGTGCACAAATCTCTAAAATTTGACACTTGATCTTTAGTAAATATAGTTTAAATGTTTTGAATTGTGAAATTTTTAAAAATAAAAATGAATTTAAAATAATATAAATCATTAACTCTTTTAATTTATTTATTTATTAGCTTTTTATTTTATTTATTTTTCTTTTTTTAATTCTGCTTGTTTTTTTTCTTCTTTCTTTCTTTATTAATTTAACTCATTTTTTCATTTTCAACTTTTGCTTTTATTATTAATTAATTTCTTATTATTTCATATTTTTTCTTCATTTTTTACTATTTACTCACTAATTTATTATATTTTTTCTTCAATATTTATAAAGATATAATGACATTGATGAAATTAGTTCATAAAACTTAGGTTATGGTTTAGGAAAATGCACTAATCTCTCAAATTTGACACTTGATCTTTCGTAAAAACAGCTTATTTGTTTTGCATTGTGATATTTTTGAATATAAAAATAAATTTAAAAAATATAACTAACTAACTAACTCTTTTAATTTATTTTTTAGCTTTTCTTTGGGCTATTTTTCTTTCTTTTAATTCTGCTTGTGTTCTTTTTACTATCTTTCTTTATTAATTTAAATGATTTTTCCATTTTCAACTTTTGCTTTTAGCATTAATTTCTTATTATTTCATATTATTTCTTCTTTTTTTCCTTCTAACTAACAAACTAATTAACTCTTTATTTATTCTTAAATATTAAAAAGCAATAATACAATTGGTGATGAAGGTTTAATAGGTTTAGGCTCTGGTTTAGGAAATTGCACAAATCTCTCAAATTTGACATTTAAACTTTAGTAAAATGATTTATCAATATTGTATTGTGATATTTTTAAAATAAAATAAATTTAAAGAAATATAATTAATTTATTTATTTACTTTTTATTTTAATTATTTTTCTTTTTAAATTCTGCTTGTGTTTTTTTATTTTATTCCTTGCTAATTTAACTGGTTTTTTCATTTTCAACTTTTGCTTTTATTATTAATTAATTAATTTCTTATTATTTCATATTTTTTCATTCTAACTAACTAACTATATATCTTTTTTTCATTACTAAAACAGTATGAATTAAATTAGCTTTGTAGGTGCTTCCTGCTTAGGTTCTGGTTTACGAAAATGCACTAATCTCTTAAATTTGAAAGTTGATTTTGAGTAAAAACATTTTATTAGTTTTTGATTGTCATATTTTTTATTATAATAATGAATTAAAATTTTTATTCAAGTCATCCTTTTTTTTATTTGTTGATTGGAAATAAATATATTATGTTTTTAAAAAATTTAATTTAATTTTTAAAAATAATTTATGTTAAAAGTTATATCGAAATCTGTGAATCATAAAAATTAGAAGTAAAGTTTCTCAAATCGAAAAGATTAGTTGTCTTAGAAATTATATATTGATATAAAAAATGGTGTAAATAGGACTAATAAATATAAATAAATTTGAATAATATATAAATATGTTTTATTTTACAAATTTTGTAATTGGATAATTTAACCTAAAATATAGATAGATAGAATAAATAAAATTAATCTTATACTTTTAGCAATATAGAATTAAAAATAAAACTTTTATAATTGTTTAAAAATAAATAAATAAATAAATAAATAAATAAAAGAATCAATTAAATATTTATTTTTAGTTAAATTTTATAAAAAATGCTCAAAGCAGATTTAAATTTATATAAAAAGAACATTTAAAATATTATTGATTGACTTAACATACATACAAAATGTTTTAACTTAAAAGATAAGCTTATTTATATTTACTAGTGATCGACAGAATAAGGCTTTTTTGATTCAGCTGAATACAGAATAATTTAATAATTTTAAAATTTATTTGCTAAAAAAAATTAAGAAAAAAAACTTTTAAAATATAAAAATTATTTCAGTGCATATTTTTATTCTTTTTCTGTGTATTTTAAAATAATTGATGCAATTATTTTCTTCTCGTTTTTTAGACCAAACAAGTTCTTAAGGATTGTTTGCTTTTAAGGTCCTTCTTCGATTAGAAAACTTTTTTGATTTTTTGAATGATGTAAGTATAATTATTTAAAGGGTAGTAATACTTAAATATTCTTGCTTTATCGAATAGAATCAAAGACAAATATTCCCATTCTATTTAGTTTAAGCATTAAATTAATTTATTATTATCTTATACAGTAGGCAAGATCGTTTTAAAGTTAATATTCTACTAACCTATTGCTTTCATTTCATTTAACGTAAGTAATTCAGTTTAAAAATCATAAAAGTTAGTTTTCTTTTGATGGGTATTTTCTTCTGCTTTAAATTCAAAACTTGAAGGAATTGAAAAGTCAGTGAAGTCGTTGATTCTCTTTTTTGTGGGATGATCCTCTTTTATTGACTTAAATTTGAGGTTCTAAAAATCTAAAACGGGCTTTTTTATGCTTTCCTCTAAGCTTGCACATTTTTGCTTATTATGATCAATCAATTAAAGTAATTTGCCTTATTCATCAGATATATTGATTGAAGATGGAACTTTTTACGTTTCTAATTAAACGGATTTTCTAGGAGAAATTGTATTTTATGATTGAATGAAAAAAGGTTTTTGGCTCTTTTTTATTTGGAGAGCTAAAGTTTTGCTTTTTATTTATTTAAATAAATTCATTTTTGTTGTTTTACTGGTATTGCTTAAAGAGCTAAACCCGTCGCAGCTTTATCCATTTTCATTAACATTCTCACTAAGGGAATTTTACATCTTTATTGAAGACTCCATTTTTTAGAATGGGATTTGACAGCTTTAAATACAATCATAGCTATTTATTTTAATATCATTATTTTACATTCCTTTTCCTTACTATTTATCGTCTTATTTGTAACTAATTTACTTTAATAAACTCTATCTTTTACTATTATGAGGTATTGTGATTGTTTAATTATTTTGTCTCACAGGAAATAATGTTAATTTCAAATCACTTTCTAATTAAATCCTATCTTCAGAACTAATCTAAAGCTTGCTTTAATCTATTTATATCTATTCATGACTGCTTACTATGTAAATAGGTTATTCATCATTTTTGGCATTATTTATTTATCTTTGTTTGTTCTCCCTTAGCTTTGCAGATTAGATAATTTCATCATTATTATTACTTTATTTGACTATTTCAAATTATGAGTTTTTATGCTTGATATTTACTTAATCAAGAGCAGGATTCTAATCATTATCTAAATATGCTTGGAAATTAGAAGAGTTATACTTCTAAATGCTATTGTCATCATTTTGGTTAATATTTTCGACTACAGAGCACTCATACTGTTAATATTAATTTTATTAATTGTCACTTATTATTGCGTTTTATGAGCTTCCTTTTATCCCATCTTCTATCTGTAAGTTTATTTATTTCGCGCTGTTTAGAGGTTTTGTAATATTTCTTATAACAAAATAATTTTCGTTGCTGTAAATATCATCCACTTCTTCTTAATTGATGAAATATTCATCTAATTGATTGCTTTCAAAGCTTTGGTTTACCATTTAATCATTGAAAAACCTGATTGCTGAACTTAAGCATAAATCGACTAACTGAAGGGGGTTGAATTTTTTATTTTTTCTATCGAACTTTTGATGACTCAAATGTGGCGTAGACTAAAAAGCCTTCACAGCTAAAATATTCTTAGAGGCAGTAAAGTGTATTCTAGGACAATTGCTTATTAAATGAGACTAGCAGTTACAAGAAAAGCATCCTGTCTTGGAAAGATTATAGTTGCTTTTTAAAATTAGAGCTTCCTTCATCATACAGAATGTCTCGTAATCTAGCTAACTTTATTTAAGAATATCAAGAAATTTCTATCTTTCTATCTTATAGACAATGCAGAAGTCTATTGCTCGAACAGAAGCACTTCTTCTAGAGCCTGTGATGAATGAGATTTCTCCAAAGTAGTTTTATTTTTGTATATTTTTTATTAAAAACGGATTTTCTTTATCATTCTAATTTTCTAATAAAACTTAAACTTCTCCTTTCACCAAATAAAATAAAGAGCAATCACTTAAATCTTCTTGATGGAAAATATATTCACCAGGCGAAAAAAGTACCTCATTCATGATAGAAATCAGTTTGCTTTTCGACTCCATCTGTTTAATGAAAGGTATATTCTGCAAGTATTTTCCCTTCACTTCCTTCATCAAATCTGTCTTTAACTACTCAGAAAGTTAATTAATTATTATGTGCTCTTGGCTCTTCTATACTTCATTAGTCTCCTTTAATTATTTCATAAAAAAATTATTTGAATTATCATTATTTAGCTCTAATAAATAATTAAGGAGAAACCTTAAAATTATTTAATTGTTTAATACATAGAATTATAATAATTAATTCTTTTTATATTTTAAAAATAAATCACAATTTATTTTTGATTATTAATTAATGTCAAGAATATTTCAAATTCTTTTATCAATTTTATTAAAATTTATAGAAAATTCTGTTTTTATTTATAAAACATTATTTGTTAAAAATGTATTTAAAATATAAAAATAGACTTTCAAATTATTCATTCTTTATTAAATTAACTGATTTTAAAAGAGTCATTATTATAATATAATCAAATACAAAGCTTATTAATTTAAAAATGAGCTTAAAAAAATAAGTAAAATAATCCATTCATTATTATAAAATTACTTAGATTATGAATTAAAAAAATATTTTGTCAATTTTTGAGGAAATCCAAATATAAAAAATAAAAAAGTAGATTTTATTTCATTTATTTTATCTGCAAAAATGTTTAGTAAATGCTTTAAAAATCATTTAATAAATGAATGACTTAAAATTTAATTAATTATAAAAACTGTAAATTTTAAATTATTTTCTTTCTTTCTGATTGATTATTAATTAATTTTGATTGATTTTATTTGGGTAATCTCAAAATAAATTTTAATTTGTGTAAGTAACTAATTAATAAATTTACTTTGTAGTAATATTGGAGATAATTAGAAACTTTAGCTCTCAGACCAGAATCAACGTTTTCCACGCGCATAAAATCATGAATTATTTACATGTTTTATCTGTATGATTTCTCTTACATTTCAGAATTAGAAATTATTTTTCCTATTCTGTTCAGAGAATACGCCCAAAAAAAGCCTGTGACAAACATGGTAATCACTGTGAACACCATTTCGAGAGGGTTTTAAGGAGTAATATCGCCATATCCGACAGTTATCATAGTCACAGAGAGAAAATAAAAGGAATATATATATCTTATTAATATGCTATTTTCTTCAATGAGATTTTAAGCATGAAGCCAGGTATCTTTTTTGCCGATACTAGTCTCATAAGATGCTATTCCATACCAGAATAAACAGAAAGTGTGACAAATACAAATAATAATAAAAACTAATCTTAATAAATCTATTGTATTCTTCATGTTTTTCTGGTAGTTTAAAACATAAGTGACTCTTTCTTAAATTTTCCAAAATTCATACAATTTGGCTAGAAATAAAATATTAAGTATCTACAAATAATTGTTATTGAATTAGTAGCTTATCATCTAAAAATACAAAGGGATCATTCCTATTTAATCGAGGATCATCATTTTCTTCAGATACTATTTCGCTATTTAAATTCGATCAACTATTAATTTACCTTTGATTATTACTCCTGTGTTGAAATAAATTATTATATTAAAATTAAGTGTGAAGAAACAAAATTTAAAGTAGGAATAATACTAATTCTCATCTAATCCAAAAAAGACTATCAGACTAAGGATGAAAATTATTGAAAGTATTAGAATACCAATAAAGCAATCCCATATTAACCTAAATCCACCGAAAGGAGAGAATACTTGAATTTTAGATATTAATTATGCACATTAAGTATTAATCTTTTCAAAACAATTAATTATTTTTTATAAATATGCAAAGCTTTCTAATTAACTATTTTTATTAAAAATAGTAGAACTATCTCCAATGAAATTATGTTAAATTTCATTCAATTTACTTAAAATTCTTAAATTACTGCCTATCTTTCGTTAAAATTCCTTTATAATTAGCATAATCCTCACTGATTACTACAGTTTAAGCAATTTTTCCTATTTTCCTTTTTAAACAGATAGTCTTTTCTGCGTATCCATCTCTGATTTTTCTAATTTCTCTTTAAATAATTCTTCCTATTTACTGCTCTTGCTATTTCTTGTTACAGAAGAGTTCTTGCTTGAAATCCTTTTTATATAATTATCGTCATTCTCGAACTCCTCTAATTAAATTAGCTATAAATCATTTTTGCGTTTCTATCTTTCTTGATGCATACTTTAAACCTTGCTAGTATCGTTTATTTACTCCATATCTACGGACTCTCCTCTCCTCATTGGAATGTCTAAGAGATCTTAATCAAACAATTAATTTCTATTTTTCAAAAAGGAGATGGATAATTGTTATAACTTAACCCCATCAATCTCATTTCTATCAGAAAATTGAGAAATTGAAGCAATATTTCTTCTTTCGCTCATTTGTTGCATTTAAAATAGATCTGTGCTTTAGTTTATCATGTTGATTTATTTATATATTAATTATGTAATTATTTATTAATTCAATAAATTGAAATGTTTAATATTTACTTTGTGTTTGATCCTAGTTTGATTAACTAATTAAAAAAATAAGCTTGAAAGTATTAAAATTGATTTCTTCTTTAATTTTCTGAGAATGTGTAAATATATTTTGACACACAGACAGACAGACATACATATATACATACATCAATACAAAACAATCAATAATTTATCTATAAAATTTATGTTATTTATTTTAACTTCAAGATTCATTTTTATCTTTATTTTAATAATTAATGTTTCTGGTGTTGATTTTATTTGATTTTTGTGATAAAAAAAGTATTATATTACTTTATAACAAATCAGCCAATCTATGAATTTTTTTTAGTTTAATAATAAAATTTTAATTTTTTAAATAACATGTTGCCTTTGATAAAACCTTTATAATTAAAAAAATTAAATAAAAAATTTTTAATTTTAAAATTTCATGATTTTTAGTTATTCTCACAACCCAGCTAGGTGCTCTTCTTATAGTTTACTGTATATAAATAAAGCTAGCTAGTAATAAATTATTGATTTAGTAGATAATTAATTTTCTAACCAGAACAATGAAAACGCTTAGGAGTAAAAAAATAAAATTTTTCTTTATTTTTATAAAATCTGAAATTTGTTAAAAAATAAAAATAAAATCTTAAATGAAAGAACAATCTCTTACAAATTATTTCATATGAGAATAAATTATTATGAATAAAATTGGTTTATATGTTTACTGAGCTTTTTAGCTTTATATTAAAATGGTATATCACCAGAAAAATATAAATTAATTTTTTTAATAAATAAAGCTTGTACAAAGGCTTAAAATTAGTAAAATTAGCACATAATTTATTGTAAAAAAATTAATGAATTTTGATTTATTTAATTATTTTATTACACTTTTATTTTTTTATTATTCAAAATGAACATGTATTTATTTTTTTTTAATGATTTAATTTAAATTCCTAATTAATTAGCAAAAAAATTATAATTTTAAAATAGTTTTTAAGAATTAATTTATATTTTTACTTATTTCTTTTATTTTTATTTTAAAATAGGTTATGATAAGAAATTAATATATTAATTAATTTTTTTCTATTTTAATTTGACTCTGTTGAAAGTTTTAACTTACCAGAAATAAATCAATAATTAATAAAAGAAAATCAAATTTATATATGTATTTATGTTTTCACATCATACTATCTATCTATCTATCTATCTATCTATCTATCTATCTATCTATCTATCTATCTATCTATCTATCTATCTATCTATCTATCTATCTATCTATCTATCTATCTATCTATCTATCTATCTATCTATCTATCTTCCTTTTTTTTATATTACTAAAAATGTATTTTATTTTATACTATCCTCCCATGAATTTAATTCCTCATAAGTTAGCAATACAATTTTAAAATAAGATTTAAACATTTATTGATTAATTGACTGATGATTTCTTTAATATTTATTTTAAAATAGGTTATGATAAGAAAATGATAAACTATTTACATCTTTTTTCTATTTTAATTTGACTCTGTAGATTTTCTATTTAATTTTGAATTTGCAGAAAATTTTAAGTTACTAATATTAACTCACGGGTGCTATTAAAAAAAATAATGTAATCTAAATTGATTATTAGATTCCTGTTCTTTATTAAATAAATAAAATTCTTTATTTTGTTTCTAGAAAGCATTTTAAAAACTAATGTTAAATTTGCTCAATCTATATATATCTATTGTAAAGTTCAAGTTTAAAAAATAATTAATTAATTAATTAGCTATTATATTTTTTAATCAAAAAAAAGTTTAAAATCTAGAAGTCGAAAAAAATATCAATTAAATATTAATATAAATGAGGATATTAGAGAAGGACAACCATCTTTTCCTTCTCTTGAATGGCACAAATATGACAGTTCTTAACTTTATGAATCATCTATCTAAATAGAAAGAAGACTTTGATTTAGTTTTTTTCTTACCTTATTATTACTATGTAATGCTATTTGGAACCTTTGCTGTTATTTTTAAAAGTTATAAAATTGTGTAATTTTATAAAATTATTTGCTACCTAGCTGCTGTTTATTTTGCAATTCAAGCAATATTTCATTTTCCTGCAATATAGAGATTCGTCATAAAAATATAGTATAATTGGGATTAAGTGACAGAAAGTGTTAATGTATTTCGTCTAATAAAATTCTTTTTATCTATTATTCAAATTCTAATAAATGTTTATTATATTAAGCATTTAGATAGATTATTTGAAAAGCCTAGAGATTTAGTTTTTGTGATAATCAACTTTGGCAACCTGATATTATTTAGCTTTGCTTTTATAATATTTTAAACATATTTCCTTGCCTTATTTCCTTTAATTAATTTTTTTGGCCTTTGTATTATTGCAAATGAAAACTAAGGTCTCCTAAAAATTTATAGAGCATTATGTTGCTTCTTAGGTATGCTATTTTCGATTTTAGATATAATTTATCTAGCCCCATTTTTATCATCACTTTATAGCTGTATATTTAATATTGCTCATGATCTTTTTTCTACTATTACTGTTGTGATTTATGTCGCTTTTACAATTTAAATTTTAGTTAATATTTATAGCTTTAAACACGCCAATTAAATATTAAAAGAGATATCTGAAAAACAAATAGGAAATATCAAACAGCTTTAATCTATAGGATAAGATTAAGAAGAAAATCATAAGGAAATAAATTAAAAATGTGAGGAAAATCCATTAACAAATTAATTTATTCAAACATAGGAAAATTAACTCATAAATTATTATGAACAAGTAAGTGAATGAATGAATCAATTTACTTACTTACTTAATTATTATAGAGCTTGCTGATTTATGGTTTTATTGTTTAAATATATAAAAAATGTTAATAGTTTTTAAAAAAAATAATTAATAAGTAAATATTATTTTTTAATTAATTTGAACATTAAATTTTCAATTTATTTATTTTTTTTTACTAATAATGAACTATATTTTATGCTTTTGTCCCAAGAAAATTTAATTCCTAATAAATTAACGATAAAATTTAAAAATTGGATTTAAACAATTATTGATTGACTGATGATTCCTTTAAAATTATAATTCAAAATTGGTTAAAGTAAGAAAATAATGTACTTATTTACATCTTTTTTCTATTCTAATTTGACTCTATGGAAAGCTTTAATTTACTAAAATTAACTCTTAGATTATTAAAAGAAAAATAGTGTAATCTATATTTCTTATACTTATTTGCTTATTTTTCAATTCCTTTTTTGAATGACATTTTATATATTCATACTATTAGTTTAATTCTTAAAATATTAACAAAATATTGTTAAAGCATTTATTGATTGAATGTTTTCTTTAATATTTATTTTAAAATAGGTTATGATAACAAAGTATCATTTCAATTACAATTTTTCTATTTAAATTTTGAATTTTTCAAAAATTTTAACTTATTGAAATTAACTCATGGATTAATCAATGAAAAATAATGTAATCTAAATTGCTTATTAAATTCTTGATCATTTATAAATAAATAAAATTCTTTATTTTGTTTCTAACAAGAATTTTAAAAACTGATGCTAAATTTGCTCAATCTATATAGAGTAATGTTTAGTTTAAAAAATTAATGAATTAATCAATTAGATGTTATTATCCATCTACCTACAGTTCATCATTCAAGCATCCGTATTCCATTAATCCGATCTCCACTCTTAATTTTTTTAATCAACAAAAATTTTAAACTCCAAAAATCAAAAATCTAAAAAAAATCATTAAGTAAACATTAATATAAATGAGTGTACTAGAGAAGAACTATCTTTTCCCTTTCTTGAATGGTACAAATATGACAATTATTAACCTTATGAATTATCTATCTAAATAGAAAGAAGACTTTGATTTAGTTTTTTTCTTACCTTATTATTACTGTGTAATGCTATTTGGAACCTTTGCTGTTATTTTTAAAAGCTATAAAATTGTATAGTTTTATAAAATAATTTGCTACCTAGCAGCTGTTTATTTTGCAATTTAAGCAATATTCCATTTTCCAGCTAAACAAACAATTAGATTTGTCATGAAAGTAATGTTTAATAGGGATATAGTGGCAGAGAGTACTAATGTATTTGAATTAATAAAATTAATTTTATCGATTATACAAATTCTAATAAATCATTATTATATTAAGCATTTTGATAGATTATTTGAAAAGCCTAGATATTTAGTTTTTGTGATAATTAACTTTAGTAACCTGATATTCTTTAGCTTAGCAATTTATAAAACTTAAATCTATGTCTTTGCCGTTTTACTTTTAATTAATTTTTTGGCCTTTATGTTGTCGCAAATGAAAACTAAGATCTTCTTAAAATTTACAGAGCACTATGTTGCTTTTTAGGTATTTTATATCTTATTATAGATATAATTTATCTTTCTGCATTTTTCTCATCACTTTATAGTTGTATATATAATATTACTGGTCCTTCAGGTATGCATGATGTTTTTTCTGCTATTTTTGTTATGATTTATGCCACAATAACAATTTAAATGCTAGTAAATATTTATAGCTTTAAGCATGCAAATTAAATATTAAAAGAAATATCTTATAAAAAAATAGGAAATATCAAATAGCTTTAACCTTATGAATAAGATTTAGAAGAAAATCTTAAGAAAAAAAATTTAAAAAGTGAAATAACAAATTAATTTATTAAAAAATACGAAAATTAACACATAAATTATTATGAACAAGTAAGAGTGAATGAATGAATAAATAAATAAATTTACTTACCTATTATAAAACATTGTTGATTTATATTTTATTGTTTAAATATATTTAATAAGTCTGTATTATTTAAAAATAAATAATTAATAAAAATTTTTCAATTTATTATATGCAAAATCAAAAACTATATTTAAAAAAAATAAATTTAACCTAAATTTTTGGTGAATTAAAATTTCATGATTTTTAGTTATTCTCACAACCCAGCTAGGTGCTCTTATTAAAGTTTACTGTATATAAATAAAGCTAGTTAGTAATAAATTATTGATTTTGTAGATAATTAATTTTCTAATCAGAACAATGTTAGATAAATATATTGAAAGTGAAAAAAACGCTTAGGAGTAAAAAAATAAAATTTTTCTTTATTTTTATAAAATCTGAAATTTGTTAAAAAATAAAAATAAAATCTTAAATGAAAGAACAATCTCTTTACAAATTATTTCATATGAGAATAAATTATTATGAAAAAAAATTGGTTTATATGTTTACTGAGCTTTTTAGCTTTATATTAAAATGGTATATCACCAGAAAAATATAATTTAATTTTTTAATTAACAAAGCTTGTACAAAGGCTTAAAATTAATAAAATTAGCACATAATTTATTGTAAAAAAATTAATGAATTTTGATTTATTGAATTATTTTATTACACTTTTATTTTTTTATTATTCAAAATGAACATGTATTTATTTTTTTTTAATGATTTAATTTAAATTCCTAATAAATTAGCAAAAAAATTATAATTTTAAAATAGTTTTTAAGAATTAATTTATATTTTTACTTATTTCTTTTATTTTATTTTATTTTATTTTAATATTGGTTATGATAAGAAAGTAATATATTAATTACATTTTTTTCTATTTTAATTTGACTCTGTTGAAAGTTTTAACTTACCAGAAATAAATCAATTATTAATATAAGAAAACCAAATTTATATATCTATTTATGTTTTCACATACATACTAGCTATCTATCTTCCTTTTTTTTATATTACTAAAAATGTACTATATTTTATACAATCCTCCCATGAATTTAATTCCTCATAAGTTAGCAATACAATTTTAAAATAAGATTTAAACATTTATTGATTAATTGACTGATGATTTCTTTAATATTTATTTTAAAATAGGTTATGATAAGAAAATGATAAACTATTTACATCTTTTTTCTATTTTAATTTGACTCTGTCATTTTTCTATTTAATTTTGAATTTGCAGAAAATTTTAAGTTACTAATATTAACTCACGGGAGCTATTAAAAAAAATAATGTAATCTAAATTGATTATTATATTCATTGTCTTTATTAAATAAATAAAATTCTTTATTTTGTTTCTACAAGCATTTTAAAAACTAATGTTAAATTTGCTCAATCTATCTATATCTATTGTAAAGTTCAAGTTTAAAAGTTAATGAATTAATTAATTAGCTATCATATTTTTTTAATCAAGAAAAATTATAAAATCTAGAAGTCAAAAAAAATATCAATTAAACCTAAATTTAAATGATGATATAAGAGAAGAATAACCATCTTTTCCTTCTCTTGAATGGTACAAATATGGCAGTTCTTAACCTTATGAATCATCTATCTAAATAGAAAGAAGACTTAAATTCAATTTTTTTCTTACCTTATTATTACTATGTAATGCTATTTGGAACCTTTGCTGTTATTTTTAAATGTTATAAAATTGTGTAATTTTATAAAATTATTTGCTACCTAGCTGCTGTTTATTTTGCAATTCAAGCAATATTTCATTTACCTGCAAAATAGACAATTAGATTTGTCAAAAAAATATTGTTTAATTGGGATTTGGTGACAGAGAGTGTTAATGTATTTGATTTAATAAAGTTATTTTTATCTATTATTCAAATTTTAATAAATGTTTATTAAATTAAGCATTTAGATAAATTATTTGAAAAGCCTAGAGATTTAGTTTTTGTGATAATCAACTTAGGTAACATGATATTATTTAGCTATGCTATTTATATAACCAAAATCTAATTCTTTGCCTTATTTCTTTTAATTTGTTTTCTTGGCCTTTATGTTGTTGCAAATGAAAACTAAGGTCTCCTAAAAATTTATAGAAAATTATGTTGCTTCTTAGGTATGCTATTTTTGATTTTAGATTTATATTATCTAGCCCCATTTTTCTCATCACTTTATAGTTGTATAATGAAAATGACTGATCCTTCAGGTATGCATGGTGCTTTTTCTTCTCTTATTGTTATGATTTATGTCATGATGACAATTTAAATGTTAGTAAATATTTATAGCTTTAAACATGCCAATTAAATATTAGAAGAGATATCTGAAAAACAAATAGGAAATATCAAACAGCTTTAATCTATAGGATAAGATTAAGAAGAAAATCATAAGGAAATAAATTAAAAATGTGAGGAAAATCCATTAACAAATTAATTTATTCAAAAATAGGAAAATTAACTCATAAATTATTATGAACAAGTAAGTGAATGAATGAATCAATTTACTTAATTACTTAATTATTATAGAACATTGCTAATTTATGTTTTATTGTTTTAATATATAAAAAATGTTAATAGTTTTTAAATATTAATAATTAATAAATAAATATTATTTTTTAATTAATTTGAACATTAAATTTTCAATTTATTTATTTTTTTACCAATAATGAACTATATTTTATGCTTTTGTCCCAAGAAAATTTAATTTCTAATAAATTAACGATAAAATAAAGAAAAAACATCAAATCCTCGGTCATGTGTACCGAAATACGAGAACCGATTAGCATGAAAGTACGGTATATAACGATAAAATTTAAAAAATGGATTTAAACAATTATTGATTGACTGATGATTTCTTTAAAATAATAATTTAAAATTGGTTAAAGTAAGAAAATAATGTACTATTTACATCTTTTTTCTATTCTAATTTGACTCTATGGAAAGCTTTAATTTACTAAAATTAACTCTTAGATTATTAAAAGAAAAATAGTGTAATCTATATTACTAATACTTATTTGCTAATTTTTCAATTCCTTTTTTGAATGACATTTTATATATTCATACTATTAGTTTAATTCCTAAAATATTAACAAAATATAGTTTAAGCATTTATTGATTGAATATTTTCTTTAATATTTATTTTAAAATAGGTTATGATAACAAAGTATCATTTCAATTACAATTTTTCTATTTAAATTTTGAATTTTTCAAAAATTTTAATTTATTGAAATTAACTCAGGGATTATTCAACGAAAAATAATGTAATCTAAATTGCTTATTAAATTCTTGATCATTTTTAAATAAATAAAATTCTTTATTTTGTTTCTAACAAGAATTGTAAAAACTGATGCTAAATTTGCTCAATCTATATAGAGTAATGTTTAGTTTAAAAATGAATGAATTAATCAATTAGCTCTTAATTTTTTTAATCAACAAAAATTTTAAACTCCAAAAATCAAAAATCTAAAAAAAATCATTAAGTAAACATTAATATAAATGAGTGTACTAGAGAAAAACTATCTTTTCCCTTTCTTGAATGGTACAAATATGACAATTATTAACCTTATGAATTATCTATCTAAATAGAAAGAAGACTTTGATTTAGTTTTTTTCTTACCTTATTATTACTGTGTAATGCTATTTGGAACCTTTGCTGTTATTTTTAAAAGCTATAATTGTATAGTTTTATAAAATAATTTGCTACCTAGCAGCTGTTTATTTTGCAATTTAAGCAATATTCCATTTTCCAGCTAAACAAACAATTAGATTTGTCATGAAAGTAATGTTTGATAGGGATATAGTGGCTGAGAGTACTAATGTATTTGAATTAATAAAATTAATTTTATCGATTATACAAATTCTAATAAATGATTATTATATTAAGCATTTTGATAGATTATTTGAAAAGCCTAGAGATTTAGTTTTTGTGATAATTAACTTTAGTAACCTGATATTCTTTAGCTTAGCAATTTATAAAACTTAAATCTATGTCTTTGCCGTTTTACTTTTAATTAATTTTTTGGCCTTTATGTTGTCGCAAATGAAAACTAAGATCTTCTTAAAATTTACAGAGCACTATGTTGCTTTTTAGGTATTTTATATCTTATTATAGATATAATTTATCTTTCTGCATTTTTCTCATCACTTTATAGTTGTATATATAATATTACTGGTCCTTCAGGTATGCATGATGTTTTTTCTGCTATTTTTGTTATGATTTATGCCACAATAACAATTTAAATGCTAGTAAATATTTATATCTTTAAGCATGCAAATTAAATATTAAAAGAAATATTTTATAAAAAAATAGGAAATATCAAATAGCTATAATCTTATGAATAAGATTTAGAAGAAAATCTTAAGAAAAAAAATTTAATAAGTGAATTAACAAATTAATTTATTAAAAAATACGAAAATTAACACATAAATTATTATGAACAAGTAAGAGTGAATGAATGAATAAATAAATAAATTTACTTACCTATTATAAAACATTGTTGATTTATATTTTATTGTTTAAATATATTAAATAAGTCTGTATTATTTAAAAATAAATAATTAATAAAAATTTTTCAATTTATTATATGCATATTTAAATAAAAATATGGAATTTTATAGTATTTTAACTCTATCCTAGTTAAGAGTTTTACCATTATATATAATTAAGTTTTAAATTTTTATGAATAATTAAATATTATGGTTTGATATTAACATGTAAAAAATGAATAAAAAAATATGAAAAACTTAAGTTTGATATATTTGATAATTTTAATATTAAGTCAAAATATTAAATTAGAAGAAATAAAAACCAAAATGACTGAACCAAAAAATGATAATTAAGCCCAATAATATGCCTGAGTTGAGTAACAAACACTAAGGTTGGTGTTGCAAGTTCCCCATTTCACACTTGGAACCCATTTTTTTGTTTAAGGATCGCATTACAGAAGTACTTATCTTAAATCGTAGTGTCTCTATTTTTAGCTTAACCAGTCTATTTCAAATTTAATTTCTTCTGTCTAGTCTTAATTTTCAAAACAATTTCTGGATATTTTCTCTAGATTTTCATTATAAAACACTTCTTAGCCTGTTGTATGTTTATTTTAGAAAGCTGGTGGCTGATATCCTTATATGTTTGCAAGGCCAAACACAGAGCTGAATCCAAATGACTAAAAGGTGTAAATATAACTAACAAAACCTACTATCAAAGATGCAATAACTCTAACTGAGAATAGAGAAGAAATAAATGTTTCTTTGGATAAAGGTTCTACTTTTTAGTAAATCTTTTTTAAGTCGCGGCCTGATGGCTTAGGATTCAAAGAAATAAATGTTGGGATGACATCAGTAAAGATTTAAATAAGTAAAATACTAAATGAGGAGAGAGGAAGAGGAATTTAGAAAATAGCAAAAGCAAAAATACAAGCAAATTCAACAAATACTAGACTTAGAGATTTTATGATAGTTTTTCTTAAATTTAGCATGAAGTAGCGAGATTCAAGTATCATGTGTACTACTGAATCAAATCTATCATCCAAAACTATAGTATTTGAAGCTTCATGCGCTACTTAAGTACCTTTTTTGTACATAGATAGAGATATATCTGATCTTTTTAAAGCAGGAGCATCGTTCGTACCATCTCCAACTGCTAATACTACTTCATAGTTTGACTAAAGGTTTTTTACAATTTAAAATTTTTATTCTGGAGTGACTCTATAAAATACAAGGTTTTGTTTATTGATATAGAGCTTTTCATTCAGTTTTTGCATTTAGTCTCCACTAATTAGAATACTTTCTGTTTTATTAATTGCATCCTCAATAGAAAGATTAGGGTCTTTTTCCATTAAATCTGAAGTTGATTCAATATTTGAAGGTAAAATATTAATTGCGCGAGCAGTATATTGAGCCGTTAATTGCGAGTCTCCTGTCTGCAATATTGTTCTGATACCAATTTACTTAGCAAATTCTACTACTGATTTGACTTCTGGTTTTATTTAATCTTTTAAACTAAAAAGTCCTTAGAATGTCAGTTTTTCAA